TCTAACTTGAGTGTCCCGGGTTGTGTTTGAGACTGGGATGTTATGAATGAATGTGTTTCTACCGTCTCTAGTTTGGAGACTGGATCGTTTCAAATGACGTAAGGCGGCACGAGGGATGCGGGTCGCCTAGAAACAGAGGGCAGGGGCGGGGTCTCACTTGACTCATTTCCCAGCATCTTCAATCTGATGTGGACTTCATACGGAAAATCACTGCACGTAAATGAAACGCATTTAGTTTAATGGAAAGTGTCACAGGTGGAAAAAAGGAACATTTGCATAAGTACTGCACTTAATTGCAATTGTGAAGTACGTTTATACAACAGATTTCAGAGGGATATTCTTTTACCTCCACTACCTTGAACTAAACTAAATACTTTGCAGATAAAACAAACAAAACATATTAACCTTTTTAAAATATGATGCAAAGCAGTAGAAAATTCAGATTACACATTTAACTGCTGCTTACATGTTAATGTACAGTGTAATAACGAGCTGATATCTAAAGGGGACATTCTGTACATTGTGTACTTGAGGTAAGTTAGTGCTGATAATGCCTCTGTTTACTTGTAATGAGCCTTTTTATTTATTGTGGTGTTGTGGAAGAGCTACTTTTATTTAAGTTAAGTATCTAAATACTTCTTCCACACTAAAAGGCACTAATATCTGAGTATACAGTGACTAAATCATACATGTCATATTTGTCTGCCTAAGTTTAAAGTACAAGACAGGTAGTGTGGGGTACTTTATCTATTGACACATTTGACATTTATTTTTTAGGTTATATGTTGGGAAACCTTGGGTCCTGGCATTCATGTGGAGGCAACTTGACGTGCTCCACCCACCTGAACGGCATTGAAGACAAAATAAACCCCTTCGTGGCAACGGCATGGTCGATGGCAGTGACCCCCCAGCAGGACAATGCACCATGCCACACCACAAAAACTGCTCAAGAATGACCCAAGGAACAGGACAAAGAGCTCAAGGTGTTGACCTGGCCTCCAAATACCCAAGATCCCAACCTGATCGTCCTCCTTGGACCGGACTTGGCTCTGACCTGTCAAGGCATGAGCACAGGACCTCTAGGGGGTGTCCTTTGGTGCCTGGCACCAGGGCGTTGGCTTCAGATCTTTTGGGTCCTGTGGGTTGTGAGGTGGGGTAACAGCATGTCCCACAGATGTTTGATCAGACTGGGATTTGGGGAATTTGGAGGCCAGGTCAATGCTTTGAGGTCTCTGTCATGTTCCTCGGGTCATTCGTGAGCAGTTTTTGTGGTGTGGCATGGTGCATTGTCCTGCTGGGGGGCCAATGCTACTGGGGAGTGCTGCTGCCATGAGGGGGGGTGCCTGGTCTGCACTGATGTTTAAGTGTGTGGGGCATGTCAGGAGGTATCCGCATGAATGTCAGCAGAACAGAGCACTGCATTGTAACAAGATGGTTAATCTTGTTCTCGTCACCTGTCAGTGGTTTTAATGTTTTGACTGATAGGTGTATGTACTTGCAGATCTAAAGACATAAAGAGTACTGTGGGTTTAAAGCAGTTAAACAGCATAACTTAAGACCTTCTTTCCTCATTATTTTTTAAACAGCGTGTTGCTATAGAGCAGGGGTGTCAAACATACGGCCTGAGGGCCAAAACCGGCCCACCCAAGGGTCCAATCTGACCCCCTAGATGACTTTGCTCATCTAATACTGACGCATTTGTGAAGGCTAAGAGGTGCAGCTTTCAGGAACAAGTCAAATAAGTATCTTACACCATGTAAAATGCTGCTTCAAAGGCTTTTCCACCCTGACCAGAACACAGCTCTCTGAAAATACAATAAATACTTAGTGTGGTCATATTTAAATATATTGATTATTGTGCAAAATATTGTCAACCAGCAGCTCCAGAAATAGATGGTAGAAATATATGGGAAAATGTAATGGCAGCAAGCCGTAGACTGAATGTGGAAAAACTGAGACATATTGTTGTAATTGCCCTTTTTTTGTTAAGATATCTCAGGCTGTTCATCATCTGCTATTAAACAGATACATATCTTTAAAATGTACTCTTACTTCTTTACACTAAAAGAAAATGAAAAATGGCTGAATAATATATATAATAAGGCCCATGAACTAGAATGAGTTTGACATCTCTGCTATAGAGTTTTCTTTAACTATTTTATATTGTGAAAAAAGATATACATTATCAAATTGGGAGACATTCCAGTACACTATTTTTAAGTTGTTTAGGAGACCAGACATTCTTTAAGGGATTTATTAATCTGTCATACGAAAAATGTGGGCGTGACCGTCGTCGTTTCAGTTTGTGTCTTGTATTGTTCTGTCTGTACTTTTTGTTGTTGTTTGTACTTTGCACTGTCACTTGTTCTTGTTGCTGAGTCTTTTGTATTTTAAGGCCCAGCTAGGGACAGGCATTGCAAATTAGTTTAGGCTATAAATACTGCGGTGTGTCGCACTGATGTATGCTACTTGTACCTATACAAATAAACATTAAATAAATAAAATAAATTCATATAGGATCCAGTTTGACCATTATGTTTCACAGTGTTGTAAAAAATATCAGATACTAATGGAAAGAGTCCCAAGACTTCAGTTATTCAAGAGGCAAAGATTTTAAACATTACAAAACTTAATCTGCCACATCCGTAGTTTTTTTGTTGTTTTGTTTTTCAATTTATTTTCGACACAACTTTCAGGTACACATGAAGTAATAACTGCTGTCAATATCACAACACATGTAGATATCAGGGCAATGACAGTTAAATAAGCAAAACAGAGCGTAATAACAAAAACATTTTTTTAACAAAAACTGTCTGACCTTATCTTAATAACATCATACCTCATATAACACAGCTCTACTGTCATGACAAAGACAGTTACAGACATAAAGAAGTAGCACAACTTCCCCGTCCCCATGGGTCTTTCTCCAAATTCTACTATACATGTATAAAGTTTCTCAAACGTGCATTATAGATTAAAAATAAAGACTAAATATAAATACAAATTCATACATTTTTTCTAGCAGAGATCTGTAGGGTTTTTAAATAATTTAACTATTTATTTTTGTAACCTAATGACAAAAACTCCACTTCTTGCATTATGGTGTGTGCATATTTTAATTTGCAGAGACCCTCAGAAAAGACAAACGCCACATACCAAAGCTTACACTTCCAAGTATACAAAATGGCAGTTTCATTCATTTTTAATGTAAATTGTGAAATGAGACTCTCTGACACGAGGCAGACTACAGTAAATCTTTTAGCCATTTGCTGTTAGACTCAAAGGCTCTCATTTGCTTGAGTCTCTGGCGTTAATATGTTTCTGTCATAAAAGCAGAGAGTGCAAGGCATTTTCACAGACATTAATGGGCTCTTGAAAGGTATGGTTCAGCACACTCTTACATTCTTGAATGCAGCTGACTCCACCTGTTTGCCATTGAAAGTCCGATGTTAAAGTTTCTGGGATCAATAATTCTGTGAACCCAGAACCTCATGTTTCTTAAAATAAAAAGCAGACATGTTTAATACATCAGAGCAAATAAGCCACTAATAATGAGTTATATGTTGTTGTAATAGTTGCTTTCTTAGGATAATAATGCAACATTTTCATATTAATATATTGGTTTACTACTCTTATACTTACAATGTAAATCTTCTCTTGTCTAAAGCATTAATATTATTAATACCCTAATATTCACTGCATACTTTAATATAATGTGCACTCCTTTCCTCTTTGGACTATCCTTGTACCATCTTGTCTCCAACATCAGCCCCCTCAAATTAACACAATTAGTATATATCATCTCTGTTATTGCGGAGCTGTTTATTTACACAGATCATCGCCATGACAGAGCCTGGACCAACCCCAGGGTGCAAACTAATCCCCTAAGCCACTGACACTGGATGGTTGGCTTGAATAAATAAAACAAGACTCAGTCTCCTGCTACAGTATATGCATGGGCCCGTGGGGCTGTTTTTAGGCACAGTGGTGCTTTTAGCTAAATGCTAATGTTAGCATGCTGAAGTCAGCTGATTGGAACTAAAGACAAAGTAAGAATGAGACTGAGGATGTTGTTCGTTTCGAAGGTATTTGGTCATGAACCAAAGTCTTGGACAAATAAACTAACTGATGATGGCAAGAAATGAAAAATCAGGAGAGTTATTACAATTCATTATGACAATCTTTCCAAAGTGCTGACCTTGTGTCATCAGGATTCATCCCCCATGAATATCACTACAAAATCTCATGGCAATTCATCCAGTAGTTGAGATAATTTCAGTCTGGACTGAGGTGGTGGACCGACCAACTGCTACTTTCATCTCTAGAGCCACGCTGCTTACTTAATATTTTTAACACATTCTTTGTTGTACACCGTGTTTCTATATTTGTCCATTTCACTTTAAGGGTGCTTTCATACCTGCCTTGTTTGGTTCGGTTCAATCAAACTCAAATTCATTTGCCCCCTTAGCGCAGTTGGTTTGAGCAGGTGTGAACACAGCTATCGCACTCAGGTGCGCACCAAAACAACCAGACCGAGACCTTCTTGAAGGGGTGGTCTTGGTCTGGTTACAAACCAACTTTGGTGCGGTTCGTTGGTGGTGAGAACGTGTTCCCACCTCGATCTGAACCAACTGCAATCGCACTATGCTTTGTTTGGGTTAAACATGAGTATGTTAAAGTCCTGGAGGATTATTAATATGCACCTCCTCCTGTACTGCCTTAATATGCGCATTCAGCACATCCAATGCATCAAAACATTGTTTTCTAGTTGCAGTCATGCCTCGTTTTCAAACTGTATGGTTTGACTAAAATGAAAAATGCAAGTAATATAATACACAATGAAATCAACCTGCATAGTTGTCCTTCCATTGTGACATTAAAAAGTGTCGCAAGTGTACTCTTCTTCAACATTTTGTTTACTTCCTGGATTTTTCCCCGCATGGAAATTCTGACCAATAAAGAGCAGCTTTCTTGCACAAAGCATTTTATCTGGTCTGCTTGTTAATGCTGCTGTGAGAACACGAACCAACTCTAGGCAATTATGCAACTTTATGACAAAATTAGTCCCTGATTCCGACCAAAGCAAGACAACTCTAGGTCTGAAAGCACCCTAACTGTCACTGAAGGCCTCAGTACAGCGGCATTAGCATGTTGCTATTCAGTAGCATCAGTGTAGTACTTGTGGCCACAGCTAAGAGCCCTTGCAAGCCCATCTCCAGTCTCTGCAACCCATCAGTGATGCTGGACTCTGTCTTTTTCTTCAAGTACTTCTCAGAGTACACCATGTACAGCTCTACACATTTCCTGGCCTTCATCTGCTCAATCAGTGCTGGATAGCCAATCTCCACAATGCTGACTGTATCATCATTATCATCATCAGTAGCAGCTTGTCTGAGAGGCTGTGAAGCAGGAGGCTTTGGATTGGCTTCAGACTTAATAAGAGGATGTGGAGTTGAAGGTGCAGTGGTTGGGCTTTCTGCTGCAGTGCTGTTGCTCTTTGTTGTGTTATTGCCAATGCCAGAGTCTGGGGCAGCAGTAGTTGTGTTAGTTACAGAAGTAGTTGTGTTAGCTGCAGAAGTAGTTGTGTTAGCTACAGAAGTAGTTGTAATGGTTGTAGTTGTAGTTGTAGTTGTAGTAGTGGCAGCTGGTTTGTTCTTTGGCGCTGGCAGAAGGTCTGTTCTCTTCATGCAGGAGTCCATGAAGCGATCATAGGGCTCAGGGGGCTTGCTGAACGTATAGTCTCTGCTGTAGTCATTGGTATCAGTAGATTTAGTACCATATTTCCTGTACATGTAGTGATTGTAGTAATACTCCTCCTGGGGGCTATGAAATTGGAAGGGAGGACGGGGAAATCTTCCTAGCCCATAGCCCAGAGCCATCCCTGCCACAGCCCCTCCAGCTGCTGCCATTACGGCACTGCGCCCAAACCCTCTGGATTTATCGGAGGGATACATACCCATTGCCTGAACTGAGTGGGAGAAGGGAGAGCCACCCCTACTGCCATAACCCCCATATCCAAAGCTGCCACCATAGTGAGGACTCAGGACTTTGTTGTTTGGGTTGTAGTTCATGTATCCACCTGGATACCCTCCATAACCGCCATGGCCACCAAAGCCGCCATAACCTCCTCCGTATGGGTAGCCTTGCGCTGGGTAACCACCAGCTGGATAGCCCCCAGCTGGGTATCCTGGCTGCTGGGGGTAACCACCTTGGTTTGGGTAACCTCCTTGGTTAGGGTAACCCCCTGGTCTGCCTGGTTGCTGAGGGTAACCCCCTTGATTAGGGTAACCTCCTTGGTTAGGGTAACCCCCTGGTCTGCCTGGTTGCTGAGGGTAACCCCCTTGATTAGGGTAGCCTCCTTGATTAGGGTAGCCTCCTTGATTAGGGTAACCCCCTGGTCTGCCTGGTTGCTGAGGGTAACCCCCTTGATTAGGGTAACCCCCTTGATTCGGGTAACCTCCTTGGTTAGGGTAACTTCCTTGGTTTGGGTAACCCCCTGGTCGGCCTGGTTGCTGAGGGTAACCCCCTTGATTTGGGTAACTCCCTTGGTTTGGGTAACCTCCTGGTTGGCTGGGTTGCCGAGGGTAGCTTCCTTGGTTGAATCGTTCGGTTTGTTTAGGCTGTTTAGACTTAGTGTCCAGATTATTCTTTTTGGGGGTCTTCTTAAAGATATTTAATTTCCCAAACCCTCCTCCTTTCTTGGCCGATGATAAATGAATATGAACCAAAAGAAGGGACAGACACAACAGAGCTATTTCCGTTAGCTTCATCTTTGCACTGCAGAGAGGAGGCAGGGAAAGAATTGTAAAGAGAACAAAAGGTATAGAAACATAAGAAAAAAATACATGAATTTTAATTATTTTACCATTTAAAAAGTCCTTCTACTGAACCGCTGAACTCACAGCAAAAACTATATCCAAATTCAGATACAACACATTACCATAACACGTGGCAACTGATAAGTACAGTAGAAGACAAAGTTATCACTGATTTTCTTGTACTGGAAAACTGAACAAGTATGATTTGGAGAGGATAGGTTTGCCTTAATTACGTTAACTACATTACATTGTGTTCACATTCCCTACATTAACAGCCTTGGCATGTTATTGCAGCACACAGCCTCCTCCACCTGTTTCACCACATTAGTTCAACATGAAGCTGTGTGTCCAACATAGCTGCCAGGCTTTAAATAGCGCAGACCCTTCAGACTGTTAGTCCACTGCAGGCGGCCAAATGTTGCTCTTTACTCACTAGTTAGTGATTATATAAAATTGTTTTCAGCGCCAGTGATAATCAATAAGTGTTGGTGGTGACCGGATATAACCTTTATTACCTGATAGTAACTGTCATTTAAGTTCACATGTAAATTATACTTTGGTTTGTTCTCTTGAGACAGACCACAAAATATCCGTTACAGTTAAGGCACATTTAAAACCACCATGTGTTTGTGACGCATTGTGAAACTTTCCAGAGAACACCTGCTGTGAACAAAAGTTATGAGACAACCCTCATCAAAAGTAGCCTACCTAAAACGGAATATTCATGCACGCATGGACACATGACAATGTTACTGACCTTGTCCGTTAACGTTACACCGCCGTTTCGTTAGATCCTGTGCGACCAAACATTAATCAGCCATAGGTATCAGCCTCCTCCCCTTCTGCCTCCTCCTGATGCGGCTAAAATATTTATAACCCCCCGCCCATCACCCCAAACGTAAACGTTAACCTATATTTTGATTGGTATACATTTATATATATATCTAAAATAGTTAATAACCTGTAGTAAACCACTGATATGATGGAGGAGGCGTTACGCGAAGAGCTAGTGTGACGTTTAAGTTAAGTTTGAACAGGGTTGACCGACGTTTCTTTCGTGAAACCTATGTGTATTTTTATTAAATAAAGTTAAATAATTTGCATTATCGTGCCCTAAGTGACTGACTTGTTTGTCTTGTACGTCGTGTTATGTTATTCCAAGTTGGATACACTGCAATTTTGGGTGTAAAAGTAACTACGAGATTAACGGTTGTGTTGCCTGACATCTGATATTCCGTAGAACGTGAACACAACACGGGTGATGAAGGAAGTTAAAGGGTCATTTCACTCAAACATTATTTTCTCACATTTTGCCTTAAAAAGGCCAGGTTTTAAGATCAATCTCTGCTTTCAACTTTCATCCCAGTTCGATAGAAGTGAATATTTGTTTATTAGTTCATTGGATCAATAGCAAAAATAAAAATAAAGTAGCAATAATAACAATAAAAATAATAAAGTAAAATAACTGTAAATGAGTGTCTGTTTTCCCTGGCCACATGTTAAAGAGGCAGCCCAAAATGGTATTACAGGACAAATATTATGACATTAAAATATTCCCTTTAACAAACTAGTCAGTCCCTTTTACTAGCCTGGTGAGGCTACACATTTTGACAATTAAAGGCCTGTCTCAGTTAGAGGTCTGGTCTGTTTGGCAAGCAGTTCATTTTTTATAGGAGTTCTTCAGATGTATAAAAGTGGGTCCTCGGATCAAAGAATCAAAAGGGTTTTTTGATAAAAAAAAATTAATCCAAGCTGTGAGTATTGTTTTAACAGGATAAAGTGTTGTGTCAGTTTGTCGGGTGTTGTAACCTTCAAATTCCATAAGGCATATAATTAATATATTATGTGAAACCTATTTTATACACAAATAATATTCACACGCTTTAAATAAACAATTTGATAGTATTTTCCATCTTTGCTGAGCAAAAGTTTTGTGAAAGGAATTAAAGGCCTTTCCCAAATATAGGCCTGTTAGTTTCAGTGATTTAAGCAAATAAAAGCCCGGGCTATTAATTAAAGTTTTACGGTATATGTGTGTGTATATGTATGTGTNGGAGCTCATTTGCAGCTTTAGATTATCAGCACAAAAAATGATTAGCAAACAAATGATGATGCACTGTAAAACGTTAAGCTACCCAGCAGTATATAAAGTGATTACAATAGCCCCATCTTTAAAGTTGCAACATAAATTCGATGCACACATTAATGTATCACAGTGATATAATATATAGGTTATGATTCTGAGATGGGCCATTCAGCACTTTAATGAGTAGGTCTTCTTTTACTTTTGGTACTTCAAGTATATTTGCTGTAAAATATTTTGGTGCTTTCTCCTTTGGATGCAGGATTTTTCTTTAGTTCTATCACAGTATTTTTACACTGCATTGCTACTTATACTTATGTATAAGACCTGAAAATTTCCTCCACCATTTAAAACAGGCATGCACTGAAAAAAAGGAATAGCAGTGTAATGCAATACATTTTGAGGCGTCAAGTCTCCTTCCAGAAACAGTGTCTCTATGTCTTAAGATAATCCCCAGAAGGATAAACCATACATAAAGACCTGGACAAATAACTAAATTAAAAAAAACGATCTGCATGACTAGATACGTTTTTGTGGTGGTGTGATTTGGGTGGATTGACCTTTAAATGTTCCATAGAAGCAGAAAAACAACGGCCAGTTTAAATTAACTTTTTCCAGAACCACCCTCTGAGCTTCTTCAGACTTTAGAAAATCAAAGGTGAATGGAAGGACTTAGTGGTTTAATGTCTCCAACTGTCACCTTAGATGTTTTCATCTGTGGAAACATTTGAAAGATACTTACCTGGGTTAGACTAGTCCTTATAAGCAGATGTAAAATGCATGTCTTCCTGTGGTTACAGACATAGTTGAGGTACCTGAGTAAAGAAGGTGTTTGACTATCAGCAGGTGTTTACTCTTTATTTATTCATATATGTACTACTTTGTGTATGTATTTGTATGTGTGAGTATGTATATGTACATAGTTTGTGTATATATGCATAGTTTGACACAGCAAAACACATCTGTCATGATTGGATAAGGATATAAAGTTGACATTATTTTTTGAATTTTGAAGTTTTATTTTCTAAGTATTTTTGTAATCATTTTATATCTCGCTGTAAGACAAATATTAATGGTAATTAATTTAATATATTAGGTCTGGGGGAATTAATTATTGTACAGCTTTATACTGATGGGGAGCTACATGATTGGCTATTATTAATTTATGGAGAAGGAATGGGAATAATTAAGTTTGTACTTCCTCCCACTCCTTTTTGGACATGTGAATCAAATCATTATGTTGTTTTCAGTTTTCATGCTTCCTTTAGTAACCTGTTTTTTTATGTCTGTCTACTACTGTATGATTATTTTGTTTATTTGCTACTTGCATGTCCGAAATGAACTGTTACTTACTAATAGTTACATTATTTTGTTCATGAGATTAAACCTAAGAATACATAAATTTACACTTAGCCTGATTTTCTTGTATACAATTGGCGCCACCTGCTGGACATAAAGACATTAATTTAAAAATCCTAATGATGAATATTTCTGTGAAACTCACACCTGACCTTATTATGTGGATAAAAATAATTAACAAATCATTAAGTCAGTGTGGCAAAGCAGGCACTAAGTAATGACCCATGTGTGAACAAAGACAACTGCCACACAACTGTAAAGGATTTAATGATTTTAATTGTGTGATTTCTTTTTTTCCTCCATCACGCAGACACTCACTTGCCATGGTAAAGTGATGCATAAATTGAATGCAGGGTAAGAAGTAACTGGACAGCAGTGCATTTTCATAACTGAAAGAAACAATCCTTACAGACAGAGGAAAGGACACATCATGATGTCACTGATGTACCAAACCATGTGAGACAGTAATATGAATATGTAGTTTCCAGACAGGCATCGTGTTGTTAACACACTATGATGCTGATGAATGGAAGAAGTGACACAAGGATGGTAATTAATGTGGATGCAGAAGGATGCACCCTGTCCAATAACTGGGGTAGAAATTAGACATTTACTTTTATTTTCCTGCAGTTTCAGGGTCTTGGAGGCACGGCAGAAACGAGAAACCAATCCAGCCATTCCCGTTATTAAATGCTGTGCAGTCCTTTAATTATGCAGTAGACATCAACATCTGAAAACCTCCCAGCAGATCAACTCCACACCACTGTGGAGCAGCACATCAATATGACACCACTTTTTCGACAGGTAGTGACAGGTGTTGTTAGAAAGCACCAACCTTCTGTTTCTAAAAAGTAAATGCCATAAATGTTGCGTCAATCTACTCACATCTTCTCAGAATGTCTTGGATATTTTTTTAAATATGGCAGCAGAGCACAAACCAAAAACGATAAATTAACTTTTTACTTTTGATCCCCTTTTGCACGAGTGCAGAGCTGATTGAAAAGGTGATTGCTTTTTCATCAGTACAGGGAAGGATTCATTTGGATTTGCATTGATAACTTGGATCAAACAGGGAAAGGGGAAGGAGACATTCCACTAAACTGGGCCCTTTTAAAACACAGAGCATGAGCAAAACCAAAAACAAAGGTGCAATATAGAAAATCTGTTCTCTGATGAAAAATGCAAACACAATCGCCCTTTAACTGTAGGCACATATGTAAAACCAATAATAAAAATCTTCATTAGCTATCTTTTTTTTTGCTTAAAAATATAATTTAGTTTATGGCATCCACTTCTGGGAGGCGCCCATGGATAGACAGCGATGAGAAAAAAATGTGTGGAGACAAAAAGTCACTCCACAGATATCCAATGTATAAAGAGGGATGGAAAAATCGTAAGCACTGTCAAACACACACAAAACTGTATTTATACAGTACACGTTTATGTGGTAAACCTTCCAAGAACTGCTCTTAGAGTCATATACTGCAGTAGGATAGTCGGGCAAATCAGTCATAATGCTTTAACTCTTTTAGGGCCACAATACCAAAAAAATAATCTCATCCGTGGCTTCAATATTTAAGCTTCTCCCCCAAATATTAATAATATATCTTTATGGAAACATCAAGTATTTTCTCTTTTCAGTTTAAACAAGAGTCATAGTGTTAAAACACAATACATACACTGTATATGCAAATAAAATCTGCACAGTTTATACAGATTGTTCGTTCAGTGGTTTAACGATGGAGGCAGGCTGCACTTTTACCACAGTCGCCTCTGGGTTTAAGGAGTGACCTCTCTCTTAATAATATACCAGTCTTCATTTGCTAATTGCAGCAGCGAGCAACTACGCTATGTCACCCTGTTCAGAAGCAGGGCCGGTCCAAATCCGCAGGAATATGATTGACATTTTTTGCTGAATTTGCTTTTTATTCAATCGCAGGTTCATAATGTGCCGTCTGTTTCTGGACATCGGTGAGATCCAGCTTACTGAGCAAAGATGAAGGTAGGACAGCTACTGAAAACTGAAAAACTTAAAATTTTTCAGGAGACTTTAGGCCTTTGCATAGCAAAATGTACAAAGCTGCTGCTGCTGCGATGCAAGACAGAGACACAAATATACAGCATATTTACAAATTTACAGGAGGAGGAGGAGAAGACTGTCTAGACTGTAAGGAGACACCATCAGACAGACAGTTGACCAGGCTCTGCCATGGGCGGTTTGGGCGTCACATCCAGGACATCAGGTCAAAGTAAACACACCATCAGTGGTCTGCCAGTCCAGTGACATGTCAGACTGGTTAGTCCAGCTCTAACGGACAATGACAGAGAACGGAGTGCACGCATGTGAAAACAGAGGGTATAAAGAAGCAGCTGCTGAGACGATGCAGAAGAGGCAGCAGACATTCCCTGGGTGTTAACAGAGACAGGGACAAGAAGAGAAACGGGACTCCTGGATGAGTTGTACCATCAACATGTCAAACACAATGCTGAACGGAGCCGGTGATTCCTTGTCCCTCTGGTCCAAAGAAAGGAGCTTCAACATAACTGAGGGCTACTGAAGTGTAGACCATCAATGGCTGATCTTTTGACCACCACATCTATGTCGTCCCTCTCCCCCCCAAGGACACAGAGCTGAGTCCATCCCCCCTTCAGTCCAGAGGCTCCTGCTCCACTTTACACACCGTTGGCACTCATCTTGCTCTTCTGGGACACCTCTGTCGCCGCTTTAGCCTGCAGAAGATGTCACAGAGGTCAGTATAACTTCAATATCCCATTGAGAACCTTTTAAAACATGTTATTCTTTTTAATATTTGGAGCATTTTGATAGCCCACAGGTATTTAGTGACAAAAATCATGGGACAAGGAGTGAGAGAGGGATAGGATGTGAGAAAGGTCACCAGCCAGACATGATCTGTGAACTGAAGTCGTCACAGTCACGTGGTATGTGTCTCTGACTGCTGCTTGGATACTTGGATCTGTTTTTCACACAGCTTTCTACTACAAAGTGTTTTTCTAAGAATTTCCACTTGAAAATAAGACTAGGTCCTGGTAAAGGTATGTTATTTACAAAGCATCTTAGCCCTTAAGAGAGCTCCTTAGGTTAAGAAAAACTGTTTGGAAGGAGGACTTTTACAAGGCTTAAGAGTTTCTTAAGTAGAGGAGGAAATGGAGGAAAAACAAAGAAGAAATATTCCTTAAACGCTGGATGACAGTGAGTAGATAAAATGCTACAGATAAGATGGTGCAGGGATGTTTGTGATCGATCTTATTAGAAATGCGCGCACATGTCCGGCCAAACACTAACAATACAATGCAAGAAATTTAATGACTTTGGTCTGTCTCAACCTTCCATCAGCAGCGTTCACACTAAAAATGGCAACAATTCAACAGTCTCATAATGTGATGCAGTTCATTTCATTTCCACTAGGTGTCCACACCTTGCAGGCTCACGAAACAGCAACCAAATAAATCTGTTACAGAATGCACCTTACCTGGCAACAGGGTCAACCACACCTTCTCCCTAAGGTAAATGTTTCTGTTGGTTCTTTACTCAGAGTTGCTCTAACATTTTTCCTCAATCATTCAACAGCTACTGGTCCTCATTTGAAATGTTTATGGTAAGTTAGGCGCTTTCTGAGAGTATACTCAGAACGTTTGTGAAAACAGCCCCAGGACTCTAAACGCCAGCAGTGCTGATGAATGCACTACAGTGACCTACAATGACAGTGATAAGTTTATTACAAAAGTTTAATAAAATTACTTTACTATGACTTTGTGCTTCACTGACAGACCTCAGTGATGGTGCTGAACAAATCAGTCCTATTTTCATTGTAGTCATCGTGATATGATGAGTAACGCAAAGGACTGCCAGAAAAATCAACACTCGCCAAATGTGGCAAATTTTCCGTTAGGCAAGTAGATCACTGAAGTCTATCCACCACACTGACCGGTAAATGTTTGTACCACAATAGTTGTGTAATAAAAAAACTATGCTGAGAGGCTGGACCGCTGTTTGGTGTAATTTATGGTCACGCTGCTTCGATCCTCTGCTGCCAGTCTGTGACTGACTTTGACACTCACACAGGAACAGAACTGCATGGTGCATTCCCTTGCAGCTCGTTAACTTTGAAATCTACATTGCTTTGTATGGCGGGCCAACAGGGACTTCATGGTGCATTAAATGCACCTTGTAAACTCAGTTATTTAATTCAAATGGCCTCAAAATGCTGTTTAATATGGTAGTTTCTATTTTTTCCTATTTTTCTTTGTTGAGAAACACCTGTCATGACTTAATTCTTTCACTACAGCGTTTTTAATAATCAGATACTAAAATAACAGCATCCCATTTTTTAAAATTCTATTTAAAAAAAAAAATCACATTAAAGTTGTTAGCAAACTCCACAATATTCTTGTACAACAGGTCCCCAAGTACCCCTGTGATAACTCTTAAAATGTATTTAACCTAAGTAATAATCATGACCTGAGCATAAACTGGACGTCTTATAACAACACCATCCCCCATATGACACACACTTGTTTTGAAATATGTCACTGTCACATGTTATGTGTCTCTGACTGCTGCTTAGATACCTCAGGCTGTTTTCACAAAGGTTCCTAGTACGAAGAGTTTTCCTAAGAATATTCTAAGAATTTTCCCTCAGAAAATAAGACCAGGTCCTGGTAAAGATAAGTCATTAACAAAGCATCTTCACCCTTAAGAGAGCTCCTAAGGTCAAAAACTGTTAGGGAGGAGGACTTATTAAAGGCTTAAGAGTTTCTTAAGTAGAGGAGGATATGGTGGAAAAATGGAGGTAGAAGAAATATTCCTTAAATATGGATACGCAATATTTTTTGCCAATATTTGATATGTAACAACTCATTTGACTCAATTTTAGTGATCATCAAGTCTCTTCTGTAGTGGAATTAACATCATATTATGCATGCATACTCTTATCGTGATGGTCCACCAGCAGATGGAGACATTAATGTGTCTGTGTTAATAAGAAACAGAAACTTAGTTTAGTGGAGCTGACATTTAAACAGATAAGAACATGAAAGCGAAAGAAAAAGAGAATTAGCTTGTGTTGCTTTTATAAAACAAAAATACATGCCATCAGAATAATTTGAAAAGGTACTGCAATCACATTTAAAAAAAAATCGACACGTTTATTTCAAATGTGTTTTGAAGTCATGTAGTATCTCTTTAAATGACTGGTTGGTTTAAAAAAAAAAACTTGGGAGCGTGCATGATGGTGACAGGTCTATATTTATCAGCTATTTTTAAACCTTACACAGATTAACTTGAGATGTTCAGTTCCAACTTTGCCAAGAGCGGTTTGTATCTGTGATCTGTATCTGTCAATAATTATTACATATATTATCTACACATCTAAACGTAACAGATTTCCACCCAGTCTCTCTACTTTCTCTACTGTATTCAAGTACTTTCTGTCCATCAGAATAGCAGCCGTGTCCCACTGTGAGAGATTAGCACGTCATGTGAGGGAGATCAAAGTCAGGAAGAACTAACTGGATTATGAAACCCTGTGCTGCATCTCATACTGGATTCTGTGGATTCCACAGGTCCAAGCAACAAGGAGTGCTCACCTGAAGGACTTCAGCAGGAGTCAGAGGTTTGTCCGTTACCAAAGGAGCCTTGTCTCTCATCTCCTCCGCCTACAGCAACACACATAAAATGAAAGATATAAGATGGAGGGTTGTGCTGCACAACTGCGACATGTTTTGAAGAAACTCATGTCTGTACAGTAAATATGGAGCTGCAGCCAGTTAGCTTAGCACCAAGACTGGAAATGGGGAAACATCTAAATGCAGCTTAATCCTTATACAAAATCCAAAGTGTAAAAGGTGGATTTTGTTAGCTTTGGACAGAGCCAGTCTAGCTGTTCCTCAGTTTAGTCTTTGTGCTAAACTCAGCTATGCAGCTGCAGCTTCACATTTACTGAGAGTAGTATCAACCTTTTTAATCAAACTCCTCGTGAAAAAGCAAATAAGGGCATATTCCTCAATGCTAAAATATTCGCTTGAGTAGCTGGATCATGTTCTTGATCTGTGAAAAAATATCAGACTTTAACTCTTGAGTTTGACCATGAAGCAGCTTATATGGAGAAACATTGGCTTTGTAACTCTGACATAAAACCAAAGATTAACACCGTCAAATTCTGTGTAGTTGCAAACATGCCTTCAGAGACAGGACAGTGACTTAAAGTAACGGGAAATGTTCTTGCTAGTTTTTCTGATTTTATATACTTTCATGTTTTGTAAGGCGGAATTTATACTTGTAAGCTGAAACCATTTCCCTCAGTGGACAGGAGGCCTTTATTTACTTAATTTTTACAGATAAGAAACAATAAACTGTGAAGACAATAAAGCCTCCACAAAAATAGCATTTTAAGTCTTGAGTGTGATTTATCCTGGCTTCATATGAGCAGAGGAAATCTCCGCTCGTTGCTAGGCTAATTTATACAATTAAAATGCCATTGGCATGTGCTAAAAACGTTAGCATGTGCTATCTGCTTGGAAAACCTATTTATTATAAGACAGTTGTTTTGTCAGTGAACCTTGTGAGTTGTAATGGAGCAGAATTTTGTAACATTTCCTTTGTTAAATGTTGCTGTTGTCCCTGGCTTCATATGAGTAGAGGAAAAATTTGCTAGCTGCTAGGACTAATTTATACAATGTAAAATGCCATAGGCTTTGCTAAAAACATTAGCATGTTACATTTGTGGGGAAAATGTGTCCAGATAAAGACAAGTGTTTGTCTGTGAATGCTGCGAGTTATACTTATGCTGATTTGCGTACTTGTGTTTGAAACTGTCCCTATTAAGCCATATTTAATGTGTGTTTTGAATCAATTACTTTACAGCACTTCACAGAAACCCCACTGCCGGCTAGTGTTTTGGAGGTGTAACTGCAGAGTGACACAGATACACCACCGCACAAGTGTAGATGCTCACAAAGGCATAGGCCACGTGCATAGGCTACAGCATAGGGTCTACCGCACACGTATAAATCCCGCTTAATTCTACATCTAGCTTGTGAGTATTTGAAAATATCCAAGGACTCGACAATGGTTAGAAAAAGGTGTGCAGCCCCTAGGGTTACGACCAATACCTCTGTTTTTTCTGAAATCTATTCCTAACCATAGCCATGACTGTTTCCTCTCTGTCATCTGTACAGTTGATCTGATAATCTGATGCTGCTGTGTGCCATGTGTTTTACGAGTGCACTGACCGGTCTCTCTTTGATAATACGAGCAGGGTCCGCCAACATGTCAGTGCTGACTGAGGTCGTGTTTGCTCCTGTGTTCTCAACTGGAGGTGTGGCTTTCTGCAAAGACAACAGCAAACGTTTGGTAAGGAGACCACACATCATGAAAGACAAGGTGCCCTGTGTTATGACTGCATTACAGTTGGACATGTCTTGTGTCCAGTAGTTAAACATTTTCATATTCATAGATTCTGGATGTTTAAATGACAGAGAAGGAAACAATGTAATTTCAAGAGTTTTATATGTGTCAGACACAAAATGTGATTCAAAGCAGAGTATTTTTATGTCTTAACACATGTCTGGAGAAGATCTTTAATCAGGAATAATAAGGGTTTAGATATACTAATAGAGCTGCAATGAAAATCAAAAGAAAATTAATCAGCAACTATGTTGATAATTGATTTATCATTTGAGTTCATTTTTTAAAGCAAAAAGCCAAGTTTTTCACATGTTAAAGTTCTTTATTTATATATGGTAGCAAATAAATGTTTTTGGGATTTGGACTGTTGTCAGATGTATTAAGCAGTTTGACACTGTGGGAAGTTCTGATGGGCATTTTTCACTGCTGTATAATATTTCATTGGCTTAACTATTAACCAATAAATGGAAATAATCATTAGTTGCAGCCCAGAAACATAAGTAGTTATGAAACATCTCATGCTAAAGAGGGGAAAAACTGAATGGTACCAAATATCAGTGACCTGCATACCAGTGATTTAGCAGCTGGAATGTTCAGCTTAAACTCTCTCTAATCTGTACGTTCAAGTGAATATGCAACTGTAAGATATTAACTAGATTGTAAAGGTCGAACCTCTAGTTTGGGAACAGGCGGGATGACTGGAGGTTTTGGTTTGAGGTCAGTCAGGTACATGGCTCTGGAGAGCAGCAGCAGCGATGGAGGAACGTTCTCCTTCAGGTGCAGATCCAACCACTAGATGAGAAACACATTATTATATGGGGGACAATGACAAGACATAATATTCAATAAATAGAGAAGAAATGAAAATCTATATGTTTCATTGGACAAGATTTGTATACAGTCTTTTACTCCAGGGAATCTGCCTGGCTTCCAGACTTTGGGGCGCTTTACGGCCTTTCCACCTCTGGTCTAAACCCAGCGTTCTCATCCAGATGCGCTGTCAGGTAGCAACATTTAGCAGTGATGGATTTAACGTGAATTTGTACTCAGTAGTACTGCTATAATTCAGTCAGTACCCTTAAAACTCTGACATAATAAAAAAATGGGCTGCACACGAATGCCTGCATTGGGTCCGTGCAGACCTCATAGACATGGGTGGATAATGACATTTGACACATGGACCAAAGCAGACACACTGACAGGGAAACTATTTATTAGCTCTTAAAAAGTACTGAGTTTCGTACCCAACTCTAGTTTCTATCAACCAACGAAAGCTAAAAATCTAACTTTTGGTTGCTCACCTGCTGCATCTGCTGACGTAGCTGATCGGTGGTGAGACCCAGAGACCTCATCCCTCGACTACGACATGCTGCCTGTAACTCTGACACACTCATAGCTGCCACACCCTCTGCTGCAATCATCTGTGAGGAAACAGAGAGGGAAGTCAAAAACTGTTGCACAAGTGTGAGAAATATAACAGCTGCACATCAAGACTGGGGTAACACAAATATGAAATAAGTTTGATCATGAGGACAGCAGAGGTTAAAATATCTTCAAAGCCCATTCTCATCGTATTATAAATTACATTCAATTTGCATAGTCTTGATTATGAAAATAAAATGAAGTTTCAATATCTACAAGTTGGTGTTTAAACCTAATGTCATGAATGGACATCTTTAGTCGGTCTACCTGTGAGACAGGACATAAATAATTAAGATGCTTGGAGAAATAGTGAGGAGATGTAAAAGCATTTGGTAGAAAGAGCTCATAGCTCATCAAGAGTTCATAGTCTCATAACCATCATCTACTTCTTCCTCTTATGTCTATGAAATCACGCTGACCGCCCCCTCGACCACAAAAACACCAGGTCCCACTCCTCCGTCTCACCTCATCGTCTGACTTGATGGTTCTGAGTTGCAGCATCAGCTGAAAACGCAGCAAGTTGTTTGTGCCGATGGGCTGCAGCTCTAACAGCTTACACAGTGCCACAAGCTGGGGGCGCTCCAGGTGCTCCAGTGTCAGCTCGTCCTCAAACAGCTTCGAAAACCGGACGATGTCCTTTGTGGTGGGCTGCTCGCCTGTGCCCCGAACCTGGCAAGGACAAAGAGTCACTAATGCTAAGCAGGCTGAGCAAATATTATCCAGACCAACTGTACCAGCAGTTTCATAAGAGAAGATAAGATAACCTATATACACTTTATTTGGATACAGGACTGCAGTCATGGAATGCACCAAACAAGTCTCAAATTCTAAGCCATCAATTTTATCTGCTTTTTACTGCTATAACATAAAACACTGCAGGTTTCCAGATATTACAAAGATGCCTTTTCCCCCTTGGATAATGCTGTTTTTTTTTTTTTTTAAGTTATGGAAAATCTTTTATGCATCTTAGTTCATCCGTAGTTGTATTCTCAACTATGCTTTAGTTTGTTTACTGACTTTACTGATTATCACTTTAAACACTAGCTGGCAACAGTCAAATATTAACTGTAAAGCAAAAACAGTACAGCATTAAAACAAGTGACTTGTCTAATACAAGCCCCCTGGAAGTGTGCTGGACTTTGAAGCTTTGAATTTGACAAAGTGGCCAAACCTTGTAACTACAGCTTTCAGGTCAATCACATGATGTTACAAGGCCCAAAAAGACTTTTTTCCCACAGACTTAAATCGTGAAAGAGACGTCTGTGAATCAGTGGGTACAATTTTTCTCTAGTCTCTAGTGTGCTTGCTCTGTGGGCCCAATGATGCAAAAGATCCAGATAATTTTACATCCAGGAAGTTGAACTTTTTTGGCTTCATGTGCCACTGAGCAGTTTTCATTAAATGAACGTCGACTCCAATACTGCATCCAGTTCTCTTTATACATCCATGGTGTAATCAAGGGGGCCTGCCGTGAGCTGAGTAAAATGACCTGCCACTTAAACACAAGATGTTCAAATGTTATCTTTGCTCTAATTTACCTTCTGAACATATGTGGAGAAGCGCTGTGTCTCATCTTCCGTCTGTGCTTTCGCTTTGTTCCTTCGAGCCATCTCAGCGATGGTTTCCTGGAGAAACTTGGCCAGCTCCAACTTCGCTGCCAGACCTTTCTTCTGCTTCTCCTCCTGCATGAAGAAGGAAGAGGGAGGGGACACAGGTTAATTAAAAAAAAAAAAAAAAATACTGCAAATACAGCTGCAGTTGGATGCATTAATACACAGCAAATACAGTCAGAATGGACTGGTTTCTCTCCTCCAGAACACTGTGTACATTACAAGTTCTCTATAGTTTAATAATACACAGTTAAAACTCTCATTGTGGTTGTTAGATTTCTTTAAAAGATGCAGTCTTTGGGGAAAAGCAGTGGACTTTCCAAACAGTTTGAGACAGTTGTGCATAATGACACTATAAAAACAGAACTGTGATTTCACATGTTGTTTGGATTGCAGGTTGTCTCTTCAAGTCTTTCCTTTATAAAGCAGCATGTTTTGCTGCCTACTTTTAACTGGGACTCTCAAATGCTAACTTCTCTTGCACTAACAGTGATATTTTACATAATTACAGACAGCAAAACATAAAAACCTGAAAGGCTGGTGCCCACAAACTGATATTTACTATAAAAAAAAGGGTTTAATCTATGAGGGAGACAGTTGAGAATAAATATTTGACCAAACAACTTAATTAAAAGGCATTTGCACCTGAGTGAATAAGGACCGTAGAGGGTACAATGTATAGAATGGGTCTTTAGTTCACTGCAGATAATAACATTACAGTAAATCACAATATACACTTATAATGACAGTTTTGACTATATCATAACATTTTCTCTTGCAGCATGCTGTAATCCCCTTTATTAACATGCTATGTTTTGATCCTTATGTTTGATCACATTTTCAGAGGCTGCACACGTCTGTGCTGTCCTGGAGCACGAGAGCATTTCTCTGAATCACTGAGGCGTGCTCCAGAACAACCAGAGAACATCAGAGCTGACAGGCCGAGAGGACCACGCACAAAGACCTGCTGCTTTTCTTTTACAGGAGATTAAAAGGTAAGGAATGTGGTATCATTATGATTATATAAACAGTATGAGGGCTTTTAAAATCAGATGCAGTAAGCATACTACAGGTTTGGATAACATGTGTTATATATTATGTCACAAATCCTAAATAAATAAAGATTAGATAAAGTCTGCTGCCTGCATGGCCTGGCGTTCTTAGTACAGCAGACATATCTGAGGAGTTATATGATAACAGTGAACCCAGAGGTGGGGTCATTCAGGCGACAGGGTGTGCATGTGTGTGTGTGTACATAAACACATGCCTTTTTGCTCTCAGTCTCAAAGGTGGAGGGCAACATCTCCGGGAAGAGTTTGAGGAAGACAGGAAGAAGGAACTCCATGAAAGGAACGATGATAAACACCATAAAGGGCACCAGACGGAACAGGTCAGCGCAGGTCCTCATCAGCTGTCAATGCAAAGAAGAACAATGTTAATGTCAGAAAACGTGGAGGGTAACATGAGCCAGTGTTCATGCCACTGTGCAGTCGTCTTCAGAGGCGTGTTTGCATGTAAGATCCATTACATGTGTGCTGAGACTCTGCCAGTCCTCTTCTAAAATAGCCTTAATATAGTTTTACCATGGCATGTGCACAGCTTGGGTCACTGAGGGTGCATTTATTGTGTATATCAGGCACTGGGATGGACAGTAACAGTATGTCCTTTTCAATGATCTACCAGTGTCCTCTCCATGAAGTTTATCTCACATCTGCATAGATAGGTTCAAGGAGGAGGTCATAACATCAGACAGAGCCAATTCCAGAAGGTATCGACTTTTCAACATGTCTAAAATTTTGTGTATGCAACATTCAGAGCATTAATATTGCAGCAAACCACTATTTACTTTATAAAGATATAGAGGAGTAACCACGTCCTGAGCACGTCCCTCTGTCAGTGTTGTAATCTAAGCTTCTCTGTGGTTTGCTAGAATAGCATGATCCAGCCATGTGTGTGCGTCACTGCACGTACTTACACCACTGGCTAGCTCATCACCACCACTTTGCACTGCCCTCATAAGGCATTTGCTGCTGATATCAGGACAGCATTTTCATGAAAGCGTAATGCCCTCCCTCCTGTTCACCCCTGGTTAACCCTGTTAGCTCTGTCAACACTGTCATTGTTTATTGCTGTTAATGGAGTTAGCACTGTTAGCTGCTAGCCACCAGCTCAGCCACCTTCATGTTGAGAACCGTGTCGAACAAACTTAAAGGCTCTGGATTTCACATAGAGCCACTTTAAGTTTCTGAACACAACCAAGACCAGCTCAGCTGACCACTCGCTGTTTCATAACTTGCATAATAGTATCAGTAACTGACTGACAACAGATTTTAGTAGTAATTTTTTGAGTTCAAATGTTCACAATTACTAACACTGAAACTGCTCAGCATTGTGAGCAAGTAAACAGACTTTGCTAAGAGAGAAGGAAATCACCAGGGCCCAGTATTTCAAAACTTGTAATCTGGATCAGAATAATCCGGATAATGAAATCCTCCTTTTCTCAGTCAGGGATCAGGGTGATCCTGCTTACTTTATCTGGGTATTTCAAAACATTGGCAGGGTGGATCACTTTGATCCCAATCTGACTGGATATGGATTTCCAAATCTCACGACTCCGCCCCCAGATCTGAAACGTTTCCCCTTTGGGGGCGTGGCTTTCAGATTATGACCCGCTGTGCTCTGTCTCCACGGCGGAGTACTTCACGAAAGGAGCAGTTGGTAGCACAGCTTTCGCATCAAAATGTAAGTATACCGTTGTCTAATGTGTAGCGTTTTTAAGACCATACGAAGGCCACCCACCATCTCATGTGAGCCAGCTATTTGAATTGTCACCTACTTATAACGTGGGCGTACCGATCTCTAATTGAGCCGAGGTCATGCTAATGGTAGCTAACGCGGCTCCATTGACTTGCATGTTAAGTAGCTAGCAGGCTAGTGACGTAGCTGGCTTTGTTGATGTATTTTGCGGTCTATGGTTTAACTTAAAAGGGAATTAATCTGAAGTACGTCATACATGAACTCTTTAAACACCAGCCTGTTCAGAGTTTAACGTTATGGTATTGCCAACACAGTGGACTTTTTTATTTTTATTATTTTTACATGTGTGCAGAGCAGACTGCTGCAGAATTGGAAAAATACACAGTACTAGTATGAATTGTGCGGTTCATTCAGAAGTGTTAGAGGATTGAGTTTGGGTATGCTACAGTAATGCTGATGATATGCTTTTCTGTAACGTTACTTAAACAATTTCTCTGACTATTGTGGATTCCTGACAATGATAAAGATATGCTCATGCACACTCTACTTCTACTTTCAGAATACACTCACACCCATGGACCACTCAGCAATGCCACTGCTAATGAAGACAACAGATCGAGTGCTGGAAATCTCTGGACATGTATCCCCTTTTGTAGAAGGCACCCACTAAACATATAGCACTATAGCATCTGATTTGATGAAGTAAAATAATCACAAACACTTCCTGAAATACATTGCTGCATGTTATAAAATCACAGTCAAGCACTTCCCAGGCATTTTAAAGGTGTATTTTCAAGCTTATCTGAATTAAGTAAAATTTATCTTCATTAAATCAGAAGCATGAAAATATACATTGAAAGTGCTTAAATGTGATTTAAATTGAGACATACAGCAATGTTTTTTCAGGACATAGTTGAGCTATTACTTTTCCCCCCTCAAACATGTGATGTAACATTGGAAAAATGCAAGCGCACACATATCATTTGTTTCTAATTGCTTTTTTAGTACTTTGCTTGAATTGTGCTTATTATGTTAATCCCTGTGTTGTTTCTTGCACTCTATGTAAAGAAAAGAATGTGCTATACAAATAAATTTGCTTTGCACTGCATTTCCTTGCCTTTGTCTGACCACAAACATATGTTGGATGTTTTGGTACAAACAGGTTACAATGTTAGGTGAAACTAGACGTTGAGAAATAGGTCTGTATTTGTTACTCTTATTTACAGCAGTTTCAGGAAGTATGGCCAAACAATATTTTTCTATGCTTGAAATTACTTACAACTAAAACACTAATTTAGATGAAGTGTAATGAATATCTTGAGTATCAATATCTAGGAGAAGTGGAGCTGAGGCTTTGTCAAATCCACCTCTGAGGTGGGATCCAAATAATCCTGAAATTTGGTATCAAATTGATCCAGATCTCTGCCTTAACTTTTGAAATACCCAAATGCAGCCTTTATCTGGATTAAAGGGAGGATTGGATTACCAGAACTGAATCCTGATCCTCAGGATCAGGATCCTCTTGATCTGTGTTGAAATACCCAGTTTTCAAATCAGATCAGGATTTAATCCAATCCGGCCAGGATAATCCTATCAGATAACTTTGAAATACTGGGCCCAGATGATTTATATATTTACATCCCAGGGTTGTTTTGTAGTATTTGGGAGGTGTTTAAATGTGTAATTTGTGGTTTATTTTGTTGAACTATTAATATGGTCTACAGAATCTGAATCTCACTCTGATGCTTTTAACAAACTAAAGAAATTAGAGATAATTTTTGTTAAGTTTTCACTGGATATCTGAAGGCAAACTGTTGGGTTGACATGTAAAACTATGACACTTATTTGCTGCAATTCTTTTTTCTTAAATTTTTTTTTTTTTTTACTAATTTGTCATATCATCAAGAATATACCCTGAAATATTGTGATATTACTTTAAGGCCATATCGTGACGCCCACACCTATTCAGTATGAGTGTGTAAGTCTACATAAGAGTAATGCAACCACGCTGATGTAGACAAGATGTTTTAGGAATTTTAAGAACAGTGTCTTAACTGCAAAGTTTGTCCACCACAGAGTACTGACAAGTTTATTTTTCACTGTATAGTGTCCCACACGTATCTTTGTCACAACTTAAATTTGATCATCTAATTTGAATGATCCTTATCATAAATGTGTGTTGTTATGTAAAACAATTCATATTGGCTGATATTGCTGTCAGATTTTTTAGATTATAAATAGCAGCCTGAAAAATTGTGTGAAGCTTTACTGATGTCACATCTATTTTGGACGTATTTTTAGCCATATTGTGCAGGTGTATCATGTCTCTGAAAATGTATCAGTAAATTCAAAAATCGAGAGCTCCAATTAGGCTCAGGGGCAAAACAAAGTAACAGTGACAAGAGTGCAACTGACAATTCCTTTCATTAGTGATTATTTTCTAGTAATAATAATAACTAATAATAATTTTTTTCTATAAAATCTAAAAAAAAAAAAAAAAAAGGTGAAAAGTACCCATCAGTCCAAGAACAAAAGATTTTAAGTTTACTATCACATAAGGCAAAGACAAAGTATCTAAATCTGCCAATTATGTTTTATACTTTTGTTTGAATGTACAAATGTGCTAAATCATTAATCAATGATTAAAATGTCTGCCAATGCCAATCCAGCGATGGACTGTTCACTATTAGCAACCACCATGACCCTTAAGTAAAGTTATGGTAAAATGCTACTGACAGTGTAAATGATTTAGGTGCTGAATGAAACTCAACCTATAGCTGAACTCTATAAATCATTGTGCAATGGTACATACTTTACAAATCAGTCTAAATCCATTTTACAACAATCCTTACAAAAACACAGCAGAGCAAACAGACCAACACCAGAGCTGAATGTCTTCAACAGCAGGATTTAGTGTCACAGACTGAATCTTTTTCAGGATTATTAAGGAGTTTTAATAGTGTATTTTAAGTAGAAATGCTTTAAACTGTGAAAAATCCCTCAAAAGGGCAGTCTGTCCACCACTGTACCATACAACTGCATACATGCTGTTGTGGGTTTTTTTTTATGACTTTGGGAACACACTGTACAGATTCCGTATTGACATGCGAAGGTGTGTAACGCTCACCCTAAAGTCATAAAATATTTGTCTCACTAATTTACTGATAACAACCCAGACAAGAGTGACAGAGGAACCAGGACAATTACTTTTGGAGTCTTTTTGTAAAGACAGAAAAGAAGCCAGATGATTGTTAAAGAACCAGACAGACATGTTGCTGTGACCAGAGGGCAACAGAAAAAGATCAATACAGAGGACCAGGGCAAAAAGAACACACATACGAAGATTTCCAAATACGTTGGGACACAAGTTTGACAAGATGGTCTGTTGATATTTGGTACAACACTAAATTATAATGTGTCATGTAAAACCACAGTATGGCGCCTAAAGATCTTCATGTGCAGTTAGGTTTATGTACATTACCAATAGAAACCAGTCGGTTTAATGATTTACCTGATGGGAAAAAGCTTTGTTTTACATGTGATTTAGGTGAGATTAAAGACAGTCTGTTTAATGTTTTATGGTTTATTGAATGATGATTTTAAAGCTGCACTTTTTAGTAAAATATCCTTCATTTCTGATCCTCTGGTTGGATGGTTATTTAAAAAAAAAAAAAAAAAAGGTAAAAGGAGCCTTGACTTCATCTAAGGTTGTCTTTGTAAGTCTTTCACAACAATGGGGCTGCAACTAATAACTATTTTCATCATCAATTCATATGTACAATATTTTTTGATAATCAATAACACATAAAAAAAACTGTTGAAATGCTCATTGCAAGTTCTCAGACCCAAACTGACCACTACATAATAACTTTTATATAGCCCTAACATACTTTCAGGTACATTTCTGTTACACACAGGTAGGTTTAAATGTTTCACTGAAGAGAAAAGACATGAGATTATATGATGATTTAAGAGCTACATGTTTTAGTAAGCTATCCATATTTTCTGATGAATTCTTCTGGTTGGATGGTTATAAAAAACTTTGTTTTAGGAAAAGAGCAATCTATCTATCGGTCTAATAATGTATGTGAACAGTTAAAGCTGCATAATATGCAGTGAAAAAAAATCATTGTGATTATTTTGACAGATAATACAATTGCAATCTAAGTTTGTGACTGGTAATATTTGCATTTCATTTATCCTGAGAACAAAAAAAACTGATGCCAATGTGGTTTTTGCTAGGATCTGTACCAAACAAGCATGTCCTCTTATGTCTGGAATATGATTCGCAGGCTGGGGCATCTCTGTAGCACCACAATGCTTCATTTATAATGGTATGTTGTGATATATTTTACCCTTAGCAATAAATCATGATGCCATTTTGTTAATATTTCAATTAACTGTGCAGCCCTACTAGTATCTATGTACTTGTCTGACATGTTTCACCACTGCAACAGTATTTTTGGTGTCCAAGTGCACGTATGCCGTGAGACTTGTGTATGCATGACTCAGTCACTCACTATCTGTAAATGATCCAGACCCACGTGCCTGATATAATTTACAGTCTCAGATTAATAAATCTTGTAACATTAGACTGAATGATGTGACACTATAATGTACATTAGCTTCTCTTACCCTTCTCCTCTCCCTGCGTGTGAGCAGTTGTCCGTGCAGCAGCCTCCACACCATCCTGCCTGCAATCTTGATGTCGATGCCAAGTAACCGGAAGCCATTGTAGTAATGCTTCAACTCGTCCACAATCCTCACATAGAGCGCCTTTTTCACGACTGCCCTCTCCTGCGCCGGAGGTACAGCAGCGGCTGTGGCAGCGGGCGTCGGAGCGGGAGCTGATGGAGGTTGTGACTGGGGTGCGGCGGCTACAGAGTCCTTTTTAGCTCCTGCAGAAGCATCCTGTGCAGCGGCTGGTGAAGGTTTAGCATCCTCCTGCTTTATGTCTTGGAGCCAAACACCTGAGCTGTGTAGAGAGCGGGCGAAAAGGGCGGAGTTGTGGCCTCGGCTGAGGGTGTGGCCTCGGTAACAGTGGGGGTAGCCGTAGCGGGAGTGCCTGAGTGTGAGCAAGGACGAGACATGGCGGGGAGGGTCTATATGGAGATAGGCTTTGGAAGACAGAGAAGAGCAGCTGTGCCTCTTGGATAACAAGTACGATCCCCTGGTGACAGCAACAAGAAAAACTGGTTAGTTATTATGTAATATTGTGCGGGTGAATGTCCTTAAAAAAAAAGAGTGTATGATAATGCTCAAATGTGTATTTGATGAACTGATTAGTTTATCAACAATACTCATCTGCTATTTTAATAATTAAATAATCAGTTAATAGATATATAAATTTTGGGTGCCACAATATGTCGGTATAGACCATAACCCTAAAGTTTAAAAACTAAATATTTATGCCACGTTAATAATACACACATATGATACAAATGGAAAGAAACAAAAAAACATTTAAGAGGCACTGGATTATTTACACAATAATAATACAGCACCTCTTAATAATTTCCATTTCTTTATGTTCTCACTTTGTCTCCCTCCACCACCAACACCACCTGGTTGCCTTTTCACTATGCATTAGGTGTAACTGCTCTTTTAGTACGATTTGGTGCATTTACGTTTACAGACTCTCCATCTCCCTGCAATTGAAATTTGGGTGCCAACAAGAGACAAAGTTAAAGATTAGTTTGACTAGTAACATTTTTTTTGACATATTATTATTATGAACTCTTTTGGCCAAAACCACTGTGTGGTAAAATAAAAAAAATATATATATATAATATTGTGACAGCAATATTAGAAAGTAAAACAGTTTGTGGTTATAGTTTCTCATGTTTTACATCACTGTAAAGTGAAGACCACTGTTTTTTTTGGACATCCCCAAGACCCTAGAGCTGCAACGATTAGCCTATGAAAAAACTTAATTTTCTACTATTCTGATAACTGAAGTAATGTCTTAAACATTCTCTAGTTGCAGCTTCATCAATGTGAGGATTTGCTATTGTTTTATATCTTTAGAAATTGAAACTCTTTTGGTTTTATTGGTCACAGAAGATAGCATATCTGAAGACGTCATCTTGAGCTCTGGGAAATTAAGATGGGCATTCACAGATTTAAAAAGAAAATAATCTGCATGTTAATCAATAATGAAAGTAACTGTTAGTTACACCTCTGACAGACTCTGAAAGCTTGTAGGCATCATTTATTTCATTTTCTTAACTGTTTATTAATCAATAAAATGATAAAATAAAAATACTTAGTGGTTGCAGGCATCACTACACACCATGTACACCACTAAATACTGGTATAGTTGTACTACTACTGAAAGAAAGAAGCAAAGAAAGATTGATGACTATTTGTACTCTGGGAATCACCTGTCTTCATGCCCTACAATGGATGACGTCATAATGTGCCGCTGAATACCTCTGAGCTGAACCTCTGTGTCCTTAATTTGTCACTAAGTTTCATCTGAAATGCCGTTTATCTTCTTTTATGATTTTCACTTGTCATCTAAAACAGTGTTTTCTAACCTCTGTCACAAACCTGGGGTATCTTGATACGCTGCCAGGGACCAAGACACTTCAAAAACTAATGCATTTAGTCTAAATTGAAAAATAATAAGCTTTAAGTTGTGTGAATTTTAAATAAAAAACACCTTACTATACTCAGGGTACCCACACAATTTCATGAATAATATTTCAAAACTTTCCGATGACTTTTTAAGGACCAATAACAAACATTTTTTCTTGCCCGATTTGCCCAGCATTTTTTTTAAACATACCAGATTCAAACTCTTTTCAGACATAATTTCAGCTCGCTGGCATACATGACAGGAGGGATCAAACATGGGGAGAAAATGAAGAAATGTATATGATGGTAATCAAAACATTTTCACATATATTGGACGCATCACCACATATTAGAGCTATGTTACGTCGACAGCTACAGAAAAGAAATTTGCCGTTATGTTACGTTTAGTGGAGGATTATCCACGGAAGATTACAGTAACAATTTCATTATGCTTAACAAAATTCCATGACTTTTCCAAAACTGTCTTTTTTTAAAAAAAAAAAAAAATTCCATGACTTTTTTCCAGGCCTGGAAAATGTAATTGTGAAATTCAATGACCATGAGAACCCTGAGGTGCTCTGTGTAGTTCTCTTGCAAACCAAACCAAAGTTTGTTACATACCAAGTGTGTTGTGTTTAACCTTGAGCTCTAACAAATGCATCAAATGAACTTCCGTTGTCATAAGCAAACATTTGCAAAGCAGTTTTTTCCTCACTTGTCTTAAATCCTACATTGTTTATTTCATGTTTATTAGCTTTCAGTCTTCTTCTTTCCTGCCTTTGCTTGTGAAGTGCTGTATTTCTTGGTGCTTTTCTACCACCTGTAGCTCAGTTGAACAGCATAAAACTAATGGCAAGAATGTGGGTTGCGTTCCCCGCGTGTATGAGCTCTCTTGTACATGTGCACAATACAAACAAAATGAGTACTGACACATAAAAAACAGCCCCATAGCACTATTTAAGGTCTAAATCTGCACAGGGAACATTTAATAAATTACAAATGTGTGCAAAACTTGGACAATATGGGTAGAAATCTTCCATCATGGTTTCTGATCCATCAGGACAGTACATTTTATGTGAACTCAGCGGGAAAACTATTAACTGCAGATAAAATAACCAGACAAGAATGGCTGTTTTTGGCTGATTAAAGGAAAAATACCTAATGCAAAGATTCTGTAAATTCAATGTTGGCAATGCAACAGTGGCATATAATATTAAGACATATTAAAAGCACAGTGATCTGCAAGTTAATTGTGGTATTGTAAGGTCACTGACAGTTGACAAAGTGGTTCATATGTTCTCATGGTATAGATCACAATGTTGCCCAACCCTAATGTACAGCTAAGTTCACATTGTGTAACAATCCGACAACTGTAACAGCAACGGTCATGAGAATTTAGGTAGTAAAAGTGAGGAAAAAGCTGGCCTATAAACTGCGAGATTGAGATCTTGCATCATCAGTAGAAACCACAGTTGTGTGTGTGTTTGTGTATGTACCTCTTGTGAGTCATGGGATACACTGAATTAGCTTCATGACAGCAGACTCTAGGTAAACAGAGACAGTCTGTGCCTTTACCAGCCTCAAACTTAAACACAGCACAGAGCACCAGAGAGCTTGTAATTACTGCTATTCAACTCTTTGAAGAAACCAGTTATGCTGGACAAAGCCTGCTTAGCATCGCCAGAACTGTTGTTTTAGTGACACACAGGATGTAAATGTAGCCATGTGCTGCTTGCTTACCTTGATCTTGTGACTGCAAGGAGCACCTGGTGACTAAAGACTGCCATTGCACAGGCAGGTTACAGTTTTCTGTTGAAGCACACATGGATACAGAGAGAGAGAGAGAGAGAGAGAGAGAGAGAGAGAGAGAGAGAGAGAGAGAGAGAGAGAGAGAGAGAGAGAGCATGTAGGTGTCTGGTTACATGTCACACTCATGGTGCAGCAACAGGCTGAATGGAAAAATACAAGAAGTACAACATCTGACCGATCACACACACACTCCTGCCGTCAACAAAGTCATGATAGACGTTATGAGTTGCAAGTTAGCTAACTATGAATGACATTATATGATAGAGCTAACATTAGCATTGACATAACCGGACAGCACGTTCAGTGACTCAATATTATGTAACAACACAGCTCGCTGCTTATGACAGATATCACATATCAGTCCGGTCCATGTAGCTGTCAACGGCTTATTTAACACTTAAATAAACTTATACTCTAAACAATTCTTATAAAGTAGGAAATAAGCTCACATATTGTTACACAAACCTTCCTTACTGCCTGGCTTCAGGTTAAGCAACACGCCACTGTTATGCTAAACAGACGTTAACTAACTGCTAAACTTAGGAGGAAAATCGTCACCATTTTGTTAATTTCCCACTGACGTTAACTAAAAACTAAAAACGCCCTAATCAGATATCCAAAATATCTTAAAAATCATCTAAACATTTGTACTCTACAAACCTCTCAAACTTGCCGGTACGTTAGTCTCACATTAGCATCATGCTAGCACAGTCACCATTAGCTTGTAAACCTCCGTTAGCCTAGCCGCTTAGCTAGCAGCTGGCTAAGCTAGCTGCTGAAATGGCAGTCAGCCGATGACGAGCCCACTAACCTCCAGCGTCAATGACGGAGCTATGGCTGCCGCTGCTGACTGGGCGTTGTAAGGCTTCTCGGTGAGACGGTGAATATTGTAATCCATCCACAAAAATCGTTCGAGGTAAACGGGAGCGACGAAAGAAACGGCAGATGTGGTGATAGACCCATTTACGGTGGGTTCATGCTTTTAAAGGCTCGGTGTTTCGGCTGTGGCCCGTCTGCTCGACATGTGCAGCCTTCCCAGGCAGCTGCACTGAAAGGTCATACTGTACATGCGTGGATGTTGCCTGCGTCCCCACCCAAGATCGTCTATGTTTGGGAAGATGGAGTACTCGGTGTTTAAAAAATAAATAAATACCCTGCCCCAGCTGTTATTTTCACCTCAGAGCAGCTTATATTAAACATAAATAATTTGAATAAAGTAAATCTAGTATTTTATGTCACAAAAGTAATAAATAGTAATAGGGTTGAGCCTGAGAAATTACACTCACATTGCACCTTATACTACCATATGTCCAGTGGCGTGAGCGAGGTAGTTACCAGTGGTCCCAGCTATGTGAGGGGCCCTAAGGCATATGCTAGTTACTTGTTACGTGCCTGAACTAGCTACTGTATAATCTTATCACATCATCAAATAAAGAGTTGACATTGGATAACACCAGCATACACAATACCCAGAAATCATCATCGCATATACTTATAGGACAAGATTACCAAAGAAAATAAGGAATTATTAATTTACTTGAATGGTTTTCTATAACTTATTTATATATTTTATATTTTACAACATTTTGTCATATATTGTTACTGTCTATTTTACAAAAGAAAAGAAAAGAAAAAAGAAAACCATGATGAAGATGGGTTTGCCTTTTCAAAGGAATATAAAGCACATGGCACCATTTTTAATTAAATGTGAGTTTGTCTTTCAACATAGGCATATTTCAAAGGATGGCAATCTAAATTACTCATAAGGGCCTGTTTTCTGCCCAAGGAATGATTATTACTTGTGTATCGAATCGACGCCGTATGCTCTGTGTCGATTTGAGGCCTATGCCGTACATGTAACTAGGTGTCGTGGCAATGCAGACCTTCGGTCTATTTTAATAAGCTGAAATCATTTCCCTCAATGGAGACGAAGATTTTATTTATTTAAATTTCACAGATAAGAAACAACAAATTGTAAAGACAATAAAGCCTCCACAAAATAGCATTTTAAGTCTTATGTGTGATTTATCCTGGCTTCATATGAGCAGAGGAAATCTCCGCTAGCTGCTAGCTATCGATGTAAAATGCCATAGGCTTGTGCTAAAAACATTAGCATGTTGTATTTGTGGGGAAAATGTGTCCAGCAAAGGACAGGTGCTCTGTCTATGAATGCTGCAAGTTATGGTGAAGCTGATTTTCTGTACTTGGGTTTGAAATTGTCTCTATTAAGCCATGTTTAATGGGTGTTATGGGTGTGTTTTGAATCAACTAAACTTTTTAGCACTTCACAGAAAGCTCCTCTAGTGTTTTGGAGGTGTAACTGCAGTGTGACAGATACACCACTGCACAGGTGTAAATGCTCACAACAGCGTAGGCTACGTGTGTAGGGTCTGCTGCACAAATATAAATCCCACTTGAGAAACAGATGGAGGGCCCACTCTCGATGGGGCCCCTCACATCATGGGCCTCACTGTAACTGCTCTGCTTGTACTGTCTATATTTATACCCCTGCATATGTCTTATACCTCATAAAAATACTGTATTATATCGTAGCATGCCAAGGGCGTAGGTTTTGTTTCAATACTGGAGGGCCCCTGACAGAAAATTTTGAGCATCAACACTTCAGTTTCTGCATTCAGGTGAATTTTTATGCACCAACTTGTGTCTTTTCTGCATTTATTTATGATGTACAGGCCTCTTAATTTTGTCAGAATAAAGGTCCTATGAAACTTTTGTGTTTTTTGTCTATTTTCTTCTCTTATGGCAAAATTATTGAATTTGCATTTGACAGATGCCCTAAACTAATAAAAGATTATCTCTCCCCTTTTCTCAAACAAAAAAATGAATCCTATATGCCTGAATGGACCGCCTGTGTCTTATGTTTAAACTGGAAAAAACATGAAAAGTGGTCCAAAAAAAGCTGAATTTTACACTCAGATTGTAATGCCTAGTCTTAGTAGTATTTGAAACACAGTAACTCATTATGTATGCCTTACACTATGTTTTGGACTCTTTATAATGAGAACCAATGTACAAAACATATTCAATGCACCTCTGTGCAGCTTTCAACCGTTCTCATCTCATTTTGGTTTGCTTTCTAAACATATTTGATCCTGAATACATAACCCTCAGTTGCTGCCAGCACACAAGCTGTTTGTATGCTGCCTTTTGAAGCTTTTTACCCCTTGCTAGACAAACTTTGCATCACTCTGCATCAGAAATGCATTACATCACCTGCTGTTTACACTTTAGCCAGACACCCTCTGGTTTCGAAATGCTTTTTGGCATGAGGAAAAATTCCAGAGCACCACTCAAATGTAAATCATTGTCAACCAGCATCTATCAGGTCCAGGGAAAATCAGGCCAGATATCAGATAAACTGTCATGTCATTGACGTGGGTCAGTGGACAGAGCTTGAGATGGGCTTTAATGTGCAGACAGTGTGGAAACAACAAAAATGCAACAGGAACATTTTCAGGATGTGAAAAAAGAGGCTGTCTGACCTTCAATGTTTTTAATCAGTCTGTATTGATTTAAGACCCAGACAATATATTCTCTCAATCAGCTCCTTATAGCGCATTTAAGTATTTATAGGCTACACAGCAGAGGCAGGACCATGTCATTTTTTTGCAAGTCACAAGCAAATCTCCCAAGTCAAGACTAACAAGTCCCATGCCAAGTCTCAAATCCTGCTTTAACTTGAACTTGTTGCAACATTTGCATGAGACATAGTGTACTTTACATTTTAACTTAAGTTTTTAACCTTGTTTCTTTGTTTCTGCTATTTTATTTATTTCTCTTTAAATCTAACTGTAATTCTAATTTTATTAGTGTCAAGGGTGACTGACCATTAAAGGCGCATTGTAGGGTGCAAAATGTTGAGTTTTCTACTGTGCATATGATAATAAATTTCATAATATGTTTATGCACTTTAAAAATGCTTTAAAATGTGTATTATTTGTTAAAGTAAGTTTGCTGGAAGTCGTTACATCTCTGTCTTGACCTGCACATTTTGCCTCTTGCCATTTGGTTTTTCTCAACCACTTTTGTACTTGAATTAAATATCTTTGGTATAATGTTTCAAACTAGTGCTCAGTTCTTCATGGCTCTCTCCTGCAACTTAACTGGATGCTGTCGGATTAAATGGATCTGGGGAACTGAGTGTCAGCTTGCTGGGAGTGAATAGCGTTAATGTGAGTTTCTTTAGAGACTTGTGACACACTTTTTAAATAACATAGGCTACTTTTTAATGTTTGGGCTTGGGGGAAGGTATCAAGTATTTTCAAGTCAGAAGCCTCGAGTCCAAGTAAAGTCTCGACTCATTTGTGGTAAAGCCTGAGTCAAGTTGCAAGTCTTTTTTATTTTGTCAAGTTGAGTCTAAGAAGTCATCAAATTTCTGACATGAGTCTGACTCAAGTCCAAGTCGTGACTTGAGTCCACACCTCTGCTATACAGTAGCCCTTAAGTTCCAAGGTCAACAATAATCTTTTCAGGTTCCTTAATATAACAACTCTAGGTAGTATATCCTCCTAAGACACGTGTCCTCCTATGAGAACATCACATTTTGGGTTTACTTGACCTTATACTTCATTCTACTTAACTTAGACCTGTTGTCCTCCTTTGTGGACACTTTTTGTGCCATCTAGTGGTAGTGAGACTACAATAAACTAATCCATGTAAAAACAAGATGGCAGCCATCTCTGCTAACTCAGTCTGCAGCCGATCACGACACAAAAGTGGAGAAGGTCCAAAACCTGATCAGATTTTATGGTTGAAACTTGTTTATTTATGATTAATGAACAACTTCCTGATGAGACTGGCTGAAACATTGTCCAAGACAGTGGGAGGGGAGTCACAGTAGTTTGATATGGCAAAGAATTTGTCCAATTTTAGCAACAGTAACAAGCTAAGACTGTTAATTAGGAAGTACTTGATTGGGGACATTGGGACTTTATTGTTATCTCGTTTGAGGACATTGGGACTTTATTATCATCTTATTTGAAGACACTGGGACTTTATTATCATCTTATTTGAGGACATCGGGACTTTATTATAATCTATTTGAGGACACTGGGACTTAATTATTGCTGACAATGTTTAGTATTTCATACTTATGGGGTCTCATTGATCCCAAATAGCTAGGAGAAATTAAAAATGCATACACAACAAAAGTTTGGGTCTCAGGGGGATATAAATACCTATATTACAGTTTTTTGTTGATATTGTCCAAAAAGCTTTGTGGTGCCCACTAGGCTAATAGTCTGTGCACTACAGCGATCGGAAAATACAGTCAGAGTGAGACGTCTTTCCTTCCTCGTCCTCTCAGCCACAGATCAGGCGAGGAGGCGTATAAAAGCCAATCAGAGGCGCTGCTGCAGACGTAACGACAGCATCTGCATCATACTGTGATCTGGATAAAATAAGAATAACCAAAACAATTATTTAATACTGTTAACACTCCTCACCCTAGTGTACCTTATGACACTATTAAAAATATTTGCTTCATGCTGTCTCTGCTGTTATGCATGTAGTCCTCCCTCAAGTGACACATGACATGAATTTCCTCTTTCATTTCAGTGTAGGTGTGACTTATATTACATTTGCTCCTCGACACCCTTTTTTGTCCACACTCTCTCTTATTAAAATAGACACCATCGGAGGTGAACTACACATCCCGGAGTGCTCCTCATAACCCCTCCGATCCGGATCTGTGTGATTTTTGGCGCTGAGCAGCTGCAGGAGAGACCGACCAACGGGCCTGGACTAAAATTTTAAAAAAGAAATACTGAAAACAGGGTGCTTTTGTTGAACTAGAGGAAGAGGGAGCTAGAGATTATTGTTGTTATTATTATTAAGAAAGGCTGCACACTGGAGGGGGCGAGAACTGAACATATCTATCGGTGGTAGGGTTTCTACTAACCGCTCCAGTCCCTACACTGAGGAAGAGCCAGGCTTTGGGATTGGGCAGCAACCAGATAGCGTAACACCCCCTCCTCCTCTCTGTTGAGAATTGCGTTAAAACGAAAAAGGAAAAGGCCTGCGCTTTATCTATAACACAGGGATTTTTTTTGATTTTTTTTTTTCCTTATATATTAAACGAGGACCCGTTGCTGGCTGGTGTATGTGTTTAGAATGGGACACGCTGAAGGTATATGTTTCTTAAATGTATATTTCCCTGCATCTCTCGACTCGGCATCAAAATCTGTGCCGCTTCCTTTGCTCTCTTCTTTAGCGATGTTTGCCATAGCCGCTGCCTACTGCATGTTGTTGCCCCCCCCTAGTCTCTGTCTGTTTTTTGGGGCTCGTAGCTAGCTTATTTTCGGACACATTTCTCTCCAAACCGCCATAATCACGCCAGACAATTTGATTTAAAGGGGTAAAGGCAGCCATATTGGCAATGGAACGTTAGCTTAGCCGATGTTAGCTTCCCCTTTCATCTTCTTCCATGTGTGATGCACATTAACGGATAAACAATAACTGGAAACGTTTAGTCGTGTGTGTGTACCGAAACACAAACAACCGTATCCCCTGTTTCGTGTTGGTTTTTCTAACCTTTAAAACATTCCGTATCCTTTTTGAAGACAATCCCCCCTTTGATGCCAGGTAGCTTTAGGCTAACATCGCAGAAAGCTATAAGATCATTCAGTGAAACATTTGTTGTCTGCGCAGTCGGTTTTTAAACATAACCACGCAGCTGTGAGCAGATATTAATGTTTACCACAACACGTATGAACCCTAAAATAACAACACGAGTCGTTATAGGCAGCTAGTGACCGTAAGTTGACACCTTTATGGATGTTTACATCACCGTTATCCACCTTCGCCAACGCTGGGCAAGCCTGAGAGTGTTCACACATTAAACCACAATCAGTGGATTAGTCTGTTCACTGTGCGAGCTTTAACTCTTTTAACCTGATTAATTAATCATTACAGACATTAAAAGTGTCAGGTTTAAGAGGCTAAAGCAGGCGGTGGGAGCTGCTCTTTGTTTTGTTTGTGATAGCAGGCCACCATGTGTTTGTGTTGATGACATAAAAACACTAAATGATCCATAGCAGGGTTGTCAAACTCTTTTTTAGTTTATGCACAGCCAAATTTGACCTCAACTGGGCTGCACCTGTAAAACCATTGCATAATAAGCAATACATAACACCTCCAAGTTTTACCCTTTCTTTTTGTGTAAAGCAGTACACTATGAAGACGCTCATCCATTTTCTAATCAGATATATGTTCAGTTTTTCCACATTTAGTCAGTCTCCTCACTGTCATTACATGTGCATGTCTCCATACTTTTCCACTCTTGTGTAGTAATGCTGGCATCAACACGCCACACTAAAGTGGAAGCCTCTTTAGGAAGTTGTCCCATGCCTCACGAACCATTTAGAAATCTAAAGTTTTGGCAGCACCTTTGCAATAACAGGTTGTTTTGTACTGAAGCTGCACAATGTTGAATACACAATAAGTATTTATTGTTGTTTTTTCCAGAGAGCTGTACTCTGGTCAGGGTGGAAAAGCCCTGCTCCTGAAACCTGGCACCTCTTAGCCTTTATAGTGCCTCAATATTAGGTGTGCAAATTGGGCTGATCCATAGCGTATGAAAAGAGGCGCGATACAGATTGTCAGTGGCTATCGAAGATGAAACCTTTTAATCAAGTACAAACGGCGTGGTATTTGTTTTGTGTTTTGACAGCTAGTTTGGGATGATTTATGGTAATTTTTGGATGAGGTTTTCTCTTGTATTTGTGTAGAATGTGACCACACAAGTCTGCTTATTATCTGCTTACATTCAGACAGCCCTATGAGTTTATTAGGATGATACAATATTATCTCGATGCCCAAGCCACAATACAATATTGTTAAGTATGGCAATTTTAATCTTTTTTTTTCTTTCTTGCAGCAGCAAAATGTATCCAGGTGACTGACAAAGCTATTGACTTTATTAGTCTAGTAGGCCTACCTAAAGTTTAATTTGTATTTGCAATGTTAATAATAATATTAATAATTTATAAAATATAAAAATTGATACCTGACTTTCATGTTTCGATAATGCTAAACAAAATATCACAATTCTATGCTGTATTGACCCCCACCTATATCAACTATCAGTCTTTTTTAAATATTATTATCAGCTACCCAGTAGATTATTTCATTGCATAGATTAATAATTTGATGTATTCAAAAAAAGGGCCCATCAAAATTCCTAAGTTAACATAATTCAGTGGCTAGTTTTGTGTGACCAGCAGTCAAATATATACAATTTACTATTATAGAAAAAAAAAATCAACAAATATTCACATATAAGAAGCAGGAGTCATTCGTGTTTTCTTGCCAGTTTTGCTTGAAATATTGTTCAATTGTTCTACTAATCATTTGCGTTTGATGACATTTAGGAAACACAGTATTGTTTTCTCAGGATGGTGCTACATGTCACATAATATCTTATGACTTTATAAAACATCAAGGCTGATTACCCACCAGGCAAAGCGTGGTAATGCTTTGGGGCACCTGCAGGCCCCCAGTCCCCTTGTTCACAATTATTTTGTTTGCCACACATGTTGATTTGTTTGTAAATATGCAGCACTAACGCACAGCATCAGCTGGAATGGTACGAGTGAGTGCTACATTCATTTTAAGACACCTTTGGGGGAATTTGCCATTTTATGGGGGTGTTGCATTTGTATGTTATGCAGGCACGTGTGTCAACCTCAAGGCCAACAGTGCTACAGTTTAACATTATTTTGAGGCCCTGACTTAGTTGCACCTATGTCAAAATCTAGTTTTTAAAATTTTAGATTATATTATACCTACAGTACATGCTACATGTTCCTTAGTACATTTGAGTTAAATGAAATCACCACAAACAGAGTTTTCAGGGCCTCTGGTCATAGTCTGCAGTGTGCACTGTCCCTGAAGACACATAGGCAAGAGCTGGCAGGAGCTGTGGGGTCAGTAGGGCCCCACAAAGGGTCATGCAGAGAGAACATTTGGTATATGTAATGTCAAGCTGGTGCTGCACATTATATAATTCCTCAGGGCTTCGTAAAGGACAAATAAGATGATTTTGAACCAGGTATTGTAGCTGGAAAACACAGCGTGTAGTTGTGTAAGTGATAATGGTTTAATCAGAGCGTGCCTGTGTCTGATTTAATTGTATACGTCTCTGTCAACAGGTCCAGTCAAAGAAAAAGACAGTTAAGGATGCAGGAGCCCAACAATGGATTTCTCCTTCTCTTTCATGCAAGGGATCATGGGAAATACAATTCAGCAACCCCCTCAGCTCATTGACTCAGCCAACATCAGACAGGAAGGCACCTGCGACACCGGCAGTGATCCAGGCGAGGATGGTGGTCCCTCCTACGATGCTGCCCTGGATGCAGAGTTTTCCTACCCGCCGTCAGCCTCGGAGGACATGTCGCAGGTCTCCAATGGCTACCCGCCTGGTCTGGGCATGTACGAGCCGCAGGCCAAGTTCTCCATGTACTCACAGTTCCCCAACGGCTCAGCTAACGGCTACGGCGCCATACGGAGCTATGGAGATCACGGTCTTATGCCGGGAGAGGGGACGGTCCTGAGAGGCCCAGGCCTCCAGGAGAGACCTTTGTCTCCTGTTTCCCCACCTCTGCCCACACATCACCCGCACCTCCACCACCACCATCATCACCCCCATCACCACCACCCCGCGCACCATTTCCACTCAAACCCACCCCACATACAAACCCACCCTCACCCACAGAGTCCCCCGCCGCCACCTCTCCCCTCCCAGCACCACATGCCCCATACGCCTCACATCATGACCCACACTCTCCCTCCTCCTCCCCCATTGCTCCTGCCCTCCTCCAGTCCTCCCCCCTCACTCGTGGACAGCACCCCATCTTCTCAGCCCTCCCACGCCCTGTCCAACACTCCTGGTGGGGTGCTGAAGAAAACCAGCTCTCCAGAGATCAAGCTGAAGATCATAAAGACGTATCAGAACGGGAAGGAGCTGTTTGAATCTGCGCTGTGTGGAGACCTGCTGCAAGAACTGCAGGTAACGTGTGCATGTTCAAGCTGGTTACACAAACACTCACACAGGTCTGCATCTATCACTGAAGACATAGTCATATCCTTTTTTATGGGTTTTTGAGGTGTGCACTTCAAAGATGCTTTAGTTAGGAAGGAAATTTAATTTTTAAAATGACACTTAATTGTTTTGTTAATTGTCGAGGTGATTTTTCATACAAAAATACTGAACATGCGCTGATTCCATATCAAATCAGACAAGAGAATTAGCACATTATCTCCGTTTTATCTTATTGTAAATCGAATATCTTTATGTTTTAATTCATGGCAATTTAAAGATGTCAGAGTGGGTTCTTGGAGGAAATTGTGATTGACATTTTTACAATTTTTTTGTTTATGTTATCTGAATGAACTATTAATCGATTACTTGAGAAACTAATAAGCAGATAAATCAGTCATGAAAAGAGTCGTTATTGCAAAGAGATGAGCCCATTGATTTCAAACGTTTATTTAAGACTCTGGAAATTGAGAGAGACCCTCATTTTCAGTGCATGAACAAAGATGTACCTAAATAAGTTAAAATAAACACAATCAATATGCCAACCAGTTGACATAGAAATGAAATCATGCAAAATAACAATGTATAAAAGCTTAAAGTTAAAACAGTTGATAATAGACACGACATGGAGTGGATGTATGGTTAAAGGCATTTACTCTCCGTTAAAACAAGATCTGAAATAAGGCATTTGAACAGCCATAATGGTGACAGAGAGTCCAAGTTTAAGGTCTTTTGCAGATTATTCCATGTATAAGGTGCACTAAGAGAATTACATTTTTCCGAGTTCAGTTCTAAATAAGGGAATGTGGAGCAACAACCTCTTCTTTGAGTGAGTACCAAGACGACATGAGTTCAGATTTAAAAGCAATGAAATAAAGGGTGGAAGTCTCTGTATCAAAGCTTTACAGAGGAATAAAACCAATGTTGGGCGCTAGAGTTTTGTTATTTGTGACCTTGGCTTTTAATCACATCTTGCAGTCTTGGTATAAGCAGGAGTCTCTTGGCTATTTTTTTTGCTCTGCATGCACATCTTTGGGACTACAGTATTATTTTTAACATGCATATCACTTTAAAAACCTTGCTTTTATTTTGCATGTTTTTAGTCATTCCTGCAAATCAAAAAACTACATCTTAAGATGTTATATGTGATTTCTGCATTCAAACTTTCTACTCAAACACAAAGACAAAGACTATCCATTAAACAAATACTTCTAATAAATTAAATGTTTGACCTGTAAAATGCCAGAAAATAACTAAATGTGCTCATTAGAAGTTCCTAGAGTCCAAGGTGACGTCTTTATCGTGCTCGCTTTGTCCAAATAATAGTTACTAACTTAAAGATATTCTATTCAGTGTTATATAAAAACATGGAAAACAGGAAGTCTAAACATTGTAGAGGCTTAGACCAGCATTTTATGGCATTTTTTTCTTTAAAATTTCCATTGATGGTTAATGGATTATCAAGGTTTTTGCTGTTTTCGTCGACAATGTGACTTCGACTTAGAATAGAAAACTTAAATGTCCCCTTGGGGGCAGTTTGTGGTACAGCACATTAAATAATAATGTAAACACAATTAAAACCCAGAACAGAACAACAAGACGATAACACGTTTCAGCTCTACATATGAACAACAGCATACCTGCAGAAAAACACAAGGCAGTGTAAATTGAACCACAGAAAAATCATGTCACATACTAAATAGAAGCCTAAACTGTCCCATTAAAATTCATATGGAATTGTTACAGTGTGTGTGTCTTGGCTCTCTTTTAATCGTCCTAAGAAGTGGTAGCTGAGGAGCTTTTTAATATTGTAGCACACAGAGAGATCCATTTTTGAGCTACCTTTTATATAGAAAAGAAAAAAGTTAACTGATGTCTCATCACCACTTTTGGGTTTTTTCTATTTTTCACCCTTCAGAAGGAGTCTCAGAAGAAGGAGGCCACTCAGATGCAGCGCAGACATGAGAGGAAGAAGGAGAAGAGGAAAAAGAGTGCGAGGCTGCAGCTGCAGGTCCAGGAACAGAAGCTGGACCAGGGCCAAGCGCAGGCAGGTACCACGGAGCAGACAGAGGACATCCACATCCAGCCCCAGCCGATAGAAACACCCCCAGCCCAGACAGAGAAGCCTCAGAAGACCGTTATCAAAACTGAACCAAAGACGCCAAAGGCAAGAGCGCGACTGTTCACACTTCACAGCAGTTTGAATTCTTTGTATTTTATAGCAGACGTATTTGTCGTTGTTTGGATTTTGAAAGTGACTCGTTCGTGTTCCTGTTCAGGTTCCGAAGGTCCATCATCCGTCAGTGATCCAAGAGACAGGCTTCTGTAAGGAGTTTGTGATAGGAGATCTGGTGTGGTCCAAGGTGGGCACCTACCCCTGGTGGCCCTGCATGGTCTCCTCTGATCCGCAGATGAAGGTCCACACTCGCATCAACACCAGAGGTACGGGCCTGTTTTCCTTTCACAAACGTTTCAATGTGAAAGAACGTGAACGATACAACTCGTTTTCCATCCTCTGTCTCTGTGTAGGTCATCGAGAGTATCACGTTCAGTTCTTCGGCAGTGTGGCTGAGCGAGCGTGGATCCATGAGAAGAGGATAGTGCTGTACCAGGGGAAGCAACAGTTTGATGATCTTCAGGCTGAGACTCTGCGCAAGGCCACAAACCCTGTAGAGAAACACAAAGTATGTATGAATGCATCTTATGTCTCATTTCCACTGCATGATTCAACTCGTTTTACTTTTGGTATCAGGTCCTTTTCTATATTTGTTTTCTATTGCGGATAGTACCCCCTCAGTGCAGGCGGGATTCTTACCTTATCACCATAGCGACGCTGTGTGAAACTGTTGTGAAGTCATTTTCAATGCTACACTGAATATTTTAATCGACAACCAACCAGAGAAACGTCTGCACTTTATTAGTTGTACAGTGTAGTGTACGTAGTGTCAGGGTGGCCACAGGTCTTAAAAAGTCTTACAATGTGTTACATACACATTACTAATAAAGGCCTTCAAATATTTAAGTGTCTTAAATTAAGATTGGATGGGTCTTAAATGTTTCTTAGTCACTTGCTGCAAGAATTTTGGGTGTTGGCACTACAGGAAACATCATTGTAACAGGAGGGAAACACTGTTTGACGGGGGAGCAGACTTTAGCACAACACCTGTATGCATGCAAAGCCCCTATTTTTGTTCCCTCTACGCATTTAAATAATGCATTCTGTATATTTGAATTTAGTTTATTTTTTCGTTTTTTACCTGTTTCAAAAGAATAATTCATAGCTCTTCAGCATTTTCTCTTCACTTCCCATCCACAAAATGACCTTATTTACTCTGTAAATTAATGAGAAATTGACTTTTATTGCTGTTATAATCGCTGGTGAAATTATGAGACACCTTTTCAAAAGAGTAGAACAGTACAACAATTTCTTTTTCTAAACCCCCGTGCATTCACTAAATAACTTGCCGATGTGAAGGTCTCTTTTTCAAATAACCATTTCAGTCATTGTGAGTCATTCCTATTCAGTACCTGGTATCTTTTATATCGTCAGGGTGATTTACAAGCACAACAATTTAATCTTGTTGTTGTCTTGAAAACCAGTGAGAGCTGCAATGATTATTCGATTAGTGTTCATCTATTAAATTAATCAACAATTAATTTGATTGTCGATTGATCGTTTGGTATGAGTATTTTTTTAACTCAAAATTCTCTGATTCCAGCTTCCAGTGAATATTTTTTGGTTTCTTTGTTTCTCTGTGACAGTAAATTGAATATCTTTTGGTTGTGGACAAAACAAGACTTTTGAAGACATTATTTTTGGCTTTGGGAAACACTGATTGACCTTTTTTACATGTTATAGACTAAACAACTAATTGTATATAACCAAGAAAATGATTAACAGATTAACCAACAATGAAAATAATTGTTATTTGCAACCCTTAAAACCAGTTAAATTACCGTTATTAAAAAAAGATCAATGCAATGCAAACTATGACACTGTTTCAAAATGGTCCAGTAGACCATCATGTGTCCATACATATTTGGGTAAGCTGATATTAATAATGTTGGTTCTGTGGTCTGAAGAATAAAGTTCACCAGTTGTTTTGTATCTTTGTGATGTTTTCTCCTCCAGCTTCTGAAGCCTATCCCTCAGCGGGAGCGTTCTCAGTGGGAGGTTGGTGTGGGTCACGCCGAAGACGCCTTCGTGATGACGCGGCAGGAGCGAATTGACAACTACACCTTCATCTACTTTGACCCAGACCCTAATGAAGGCATGCCCAGCAAGAAACCCAACATCAGGTCTGAGAAGCGAAACCGGCGCTCCAGCGGGTCGGTCAGCAAGAAGGAAGAGGGAACCGTGAAGTCACCAGAGAGAGAGCAGCCGCCGCGAAGGCTGCTGCCACGCAGGCAGTGCAGTGTTTCAAACACAGAGGACAACACAAACTCCCAGGCTTCAAATGAAGAGAAGAACCAGACCAGGGGGGGGGACCAGCGTAAGACCAGCTCCCCGAAACGGAACGCTGGTTGTAATGCACGAGCGCAGCAGGACTCGCCGCCACCAGTCAGGGCCTGGAAAACAGCGGCCGCCAGGAAGTTGCTGCCTCTATCCATCACCATGAAGCGGCTGAATGTGGAGATCACAAAGTGTGACTGGCCTCTCCTGCAGAAAAAAGCAGCTGCATCTCCAAAAAAGGACCGAGAGGAAGAGAAGGAGGAGAGAGTGGAGAGAGAGGCCCGGCAGCCCGACCTGGGGTACTGCTCACCTGAGGTTGGTGTAACTCATGCAGACAGAAAAATGTAGAATCTGAGGTATCCTGACAGGATATTCACACGCTGATGCCTTTAACAGGACAGCAGAGCTAAACCTGAGCCCAGTCCAGAGGAGGAGGAAGACGGGGACGACGGGGAGGAAGAGGAGAGGAGAGGCTCCCCCGCCAGTCGGAGGAGTGAGGAGGGAGGAATGCAGCAAACCTCCTCTCCTGGATCACACCACAGTAGTCCACACGGTTGGTAAAACACAGACATACAGGGTGTATTTTTTTTTCTGCTGATGAATATTTGACGTGTTGTGAAGTCGGTAGGAGATACAGCTCACTGTTTTTTGTGTCTTCAGGTTCTCAGGAGAGGAAGCTGCAGCGACGGTCAGTCAGGAGCAGGTCTGAGTCAGAGAGAGGCAACGATCCCGTCCCTAAGAAGAAAACCAAAAAGGAACAGGTACCAGTCCTCCGCAGATAAACTGGTGTTCACACCGGAGAAATAGAATGAGTAGAAAAGACATTGAATGGCTTGCTGTTGTTATTTGACTCATACAAAAAAAAAAACGCATTTGTTGTCAGTTATTAAATCAAGTTTCAACAAACATGAAATTTATGGCAACAGAAGAAACAGGAGACTGTGAACAGAAAATCCTGCACACCACCCTTGTTTAGACATTTTGGTCGTTTGTTTGCATGTCATATCCTTCTTTCTCCATGCTTGTTATACATTGTATTTTTTCCCTGTATTGTATCATATATTGGCAAAATTGCACAAAATATAATAAAGAATGCAGAAGGCATTGGTGTGGGAGTATTTAAGGTACTGATTTGACAAAAGGTGTTCTGGGGACATCCCTGAGAGGAACTGTAACCCCGGGAGCTCCCTCATAGAAATAAAATGAGATGCCTCCAGTTTATTTCTATGACATACCTTCACAGGATTTTTACTGTTTGCATTTGACCGTCAGTAGGAACCCTGAAGTGATGTACTGTAAGCCAGCTGTCAAAGATTCCTATATTTCACTTTGATGATTCAAAATCGCATTGTATTTCCCATTGCATATTAGCTCAGTAAATCCTGGTATTTACTGTAAGTCCATTTGTCTGTGTTTACTTCAGTTTTTTCTATACAAATTGTGTTTTGTGTTGTCTGTTTACACAGCTAACAGATTATTTAAAAATGACTGTTGTCAGTGCTGCATTGGCTCATGTGTTTGACTAATCAGTGTACACTTACATCCCCTTAGGGTTTCTCTTGTACTGGGAAAGTACCTACTCTGAAATAGGAGCTAAAACTTCCCTCTAAGCAGCAGTCTAAGAGCTACGATTGTCCCTAGTTTTTGCAACGTGGACACAACACGCATGTTTGAATCTGTGTTCTAGGAACCCCCTTTCTGTTGTGTCGGCACTGTGAGAACTACGAATGATGGTAGTTCTTAGAACGTCCCTTTTTAAGGGACTTTTTTAACCCCTATTTCAGAGTAGGTACTCTCTCAGCACAAGAGGAACCATCAGTGACTTAGGTGTATGGTGTTTTGTCGAACACATGAACCAATGCAGCACCAGCAACCACCATTTTTAAAAACCCTTTAGCCTTGTAATAAACAGACAACACAAAACAAAAATAACAACTTGTAACGGAATTTCTTTTAGAAGAAAACATGGACAGTGGACTGACAGAGAAGTCAAGGTTTTACTGAGCATATATGCAATGCAAAGCAAAAGTGACGCTGCTATACCAACCTCTGGCGGGCTTATGGTACGTCACTTAAGCTTTCCTACTAGCGTTGTGAATGCAAACGGTAAAAAAGGCCTTGAGGGTATGTGGTTGTATTTGGAAGCTCCTTAGTGGGCAGTTCCTCTCAGGAAGTCTTCAGAACTGTTGGTCTGAAAACATCTAATAAAAAGTGGGCCTCCTCCGGTCCAAAAACACCTAATGAAATATGTTCTGGAAACTGTTTGGAGTAACACATTCATGAGTTTTAAGGATTATCAGATGCTGCACAGAGGTTTGCAATATTAAGAACGAGTATTTTACAACACTGAAGAGTTTTATAGCAATAATATTTTTTCCTTCTGTGGTGGAAATTTTGGCTACTTCATGCATATAATTGTATTGTTTCATTCTTCCCATTTTGTGTGTGACCTTTGCATTCCCCTTTTGTAAACATCTGTCGTTACTTGACATCAAGAGATTTACATTCACTATAATCTCGCCTTCAAAGACAGTCCATTGACTTCTCTTATGTAATCAAGAGAACATAATTAAAACAGGAAAGCCCAAGAAAGCTACAGTTGATTTCTCATCATCTTGTCATGTGAGTGTAGGTATAAAGATGCCTTGTATTCACTGTTCTGGGCACAAACTCTAAACTCTGAGTTCTGAGCCTGAGGTTGCGCCTTCTCTATAGAGAATAAACAAAGCTGTTCAGTCTTGTTTGCTGACTCTCAAGCAGATCGGCTAAAAATTACACTTCATTGAGTCAGTTGTCAGATGAATGTTGGAATTACTCTGTTCACCTTACAAAGTTATCTACCACTCCTGTTCTTAAATGTATGTAATGTAATTTTGGCTGCATTATTGTACGCAGTGTTAATGTCGGACTGAACATGTCCTTTGTGCAAAATTTCTTAAAACTAACCAGCTACCACTTGAATCCAAATTAGCCCCACAATAACCTAAACTTCCATGTTTAACAGGCTGAGATGGCTCCTGAGACCACACTGAGGACTGGTTCACAGAAAGGTATGGGATCCTTCTTTCATGCCTCCTGCAAAACCTCTGTGATGGGAACTCCTAAAAAAAGGGAAATTCATCTTTTTGATCGACCCCTATGTGATCCTCCAGGAGCCAGTGAGATCTCAGATGCCTGCAAGCCCCTGAAGAAGCGAAGCAGAGCGTCAACGGATGTGGAGATGGCTTCTTCTCAGTATAGAGACACCTCTGACTCTGACTCCAGAGGCCTCAATGACCCACAGGTAGGTTAGAAAACATGTATACACACATACACACACACACACACACACACACACACACACACACACACACAGAAAAGTACTGTATTTCTCCTGCACACAAAATTGTGTAGATGTACATCCACATGCAGATGTCAGAATAAACAGAGTATGTCTTGGTTCCTGGTGGGGAAGTGCCTTTGTTGTATGTTTTTAAAGCCCTGACAAAGACCTGCAGTGTTCAAAATATGTTGGCTGTTTTGGCTTTTTTTAATGCCTCCTTCCTCGTGTTCTATATTTTTGGAGTGCCTGGATTGCCTTCTTGTATATCCTATTGTTTCCCATTCTCCATGAACACCTGACACAAGGTTGTCTCTCTCTTTTTCACAGTATTTGCCTTACTTGCAGACATATTCATCATGAAAAATTTACAAGACAAACTTTCAGTCATCTGATCACCATCTTCTCTGTTAATCTTTGCCTGTTTGAATGTTTGATCTATGCATTTTTAGCATTTGCAGGCCTTTTTTTCACACTCATCATAACTCAAGCTGAAACAATCAGTCAATCAATCAACAGAAAATTAATCTGCAGCCATTTTGAAAATTGATTTATCATTTAAAATATTTGTTTTTAAGCAAAAATGGCAAAAATTCAGTTTTTCCAGCTTCTCAGATATGACTATTTTGTGGTTTTCTGCTTTCTTTATGGTTATAATTGGAATATTTCTGGGTTCTGTGCTATTTTTTGGGCAACAGACGTTCCAAAACATTAGTATTGGCTCTTGAAACTTGTGATGACAATTTTCTTACTATTTGCTGACATTTTATGGACCAAACTGTTAATTAGGCAAGGCAAGTTTATTTGTACAGCACAATTCAACACAAGGTAATTCAAAGTGCTTTACAGAGACATTAAAAGCAACAACACACAATTTAAAACAATAAAAACAGTCGACTAAAAAGGGAAATAGAAATTGAGAATGATAGTGATAATAATAAAATACAGTAACATAAAATAAAAACAGGCTCAATACATTGAACAGTCAGGATAAGAAACGAAGTAGAATAATAAAAGGCATAAATCAGCAGTGTGTAGTTAAAAAGTACGGGCAGTAGAATACAGCAGGTAAGTATTTAATCTAAGAGTACGCTTCAGTAAACAATAGTGTTTTTAGCCCTGATTTAAAGGAGCTGACAGTTTGAGCAGACCTCAGATCTACAGGAAGTTTGTTCCACAGGTGAGGAGCATAATATCTGAATGCTGCCTCACCTTACTTGGTTCTTGGAACACACAACAAACCTGTTCCAGATGACCTAAGGGGTCTGGATGCTTCGTAGGGAACCAGTAGATCAAGCATGTATTTTGGTCCGAGACCATTTAGGGCTTTGTAGGCCAGCAGTAAGATTTTAAAATCTATTCTTTGACTCACAGGAAGCCAGTGTAGCGATTTAATGACAAGGTGTAATATGGTCCAGTTTCCTGGTGTTTGTAAGGACTCTGGCAGCAGCGTTCTGAATCAGCTGCAGCTGTCTGATTGATTTTTTGTTAAGGCCTGTAAATAAGCCATTGCAATAATCCAACCTACTAAAAATGAATGCATGAATAAGTTTTAATACATCAAGTAAATAATTGATACAGTAATTTATAATGAAGGTTAAAGGGGCGGGACTCTCCAGGGACCTCACAATTCAATTCAGTTACTGTGCTCCAGCAAATAACACAAACCATCATGAAAAGTTTCTGCTAAAGAGCTCATAAAGAAAAAATATCTTACTTGTGTAACAAGTTTGTATTGGTCTCATTCCACTTTGACATTAGCGATTTGTTTACTTCCCTCACTTCCATTTCTCTTTTTGTGCGCTGAGCTGAACTGCTAATCGGAGTGATGTCATTCACCAACAGGCTCCGCTGTCGCTGACACGATTCAGTATGCTGGATTGGCAGAAAAAAAGCTGACTAGGGCCAATGAGGGCCAACAGTGAGGGACACACCGCAGCGACCACAGACGTGGCCACAGGCCACAGGGCCACAGACGCTCAATCCAACATTGACAGACAGCCGATGTCAGCTTGGTGTATCAGAGCCTTAATAGCATATTTGTACACTATATTTTGCATACGTTGTGTCTCTTGTCCAGGTCCCTTTTTCCTTCAACTTCATAAAAGCCAAAATGCTTCCATATGCTAGCTTGAAAGCCAGGGGGTGCCGGTCAGATTGTATCCATCTGCAGTTGTTTACGTTCAGCCATAGATTAGAACACAATCTACGTGTTTATGTCCACCACGTTTCACCATCCAACTGGTTCAATGTACAAGAATGTACTAGCTTGGTCTTACAGAATTGATATAGGTGCTCATGATGTGGAGAATTGAGTTTTATATTTCTGATTATTGACTTTTGTGAATCGAGATATAATCTGTCAAGAGAGAATCACGATGTATCTGAGAATGGATTTTTTCCCCCCACCCTTAGAAAATATTTGTTGCATTCCTGATTACACCATGTGTTAGGCTGAATATCTAAACACTTTTGAAAGAGTAGTTCAATACAGTTGGCTTAAATTTGGCGTGTTTGTGCATTATGCGACTGGTTTCTTTCACAGAAAACACATCTACAGTTTTGCTCTGTCTTAACCTTTACAGGGTTTATTTGGGAAGAGTCTTGATAGTCCAGCAGCTGCAGATGCAGACGCATCAGATACTCAGTCTGTGGACTCCGGCTTGTCCCGTCAGGACGGCAGCACCGGAAAGAGAGACACCGTCTGCCAGGTCAGCGCTCTCATGATTAATCTCTGTTGTACTCTTGTAGGTATTGAGTTCTATTAACCGTTGTTCTGTGTGTTTGTGTGTAGATCTTTGTGGTTTTCGTATTTTTTTTTTTGGTGTGTGAAGGTGACTGCAGCAGACAGTTTCACCTGGACTGTCTTGGTCTGGCGTCCCTACCTGAAGGCAGATTCACCTGCTTAGAATGCAGAAATGGTGAGCGAATCAGACTTCACCTTCGCTATTACAAGTGTTGTGTTTTGCTTTGTACTAACACAGACTCCCTGTCATTCATCTTTCCAGGCAATCATCCTTGTTTTAGCTGTAAAACGGCAGGGCGGGAGGTGACACGCTGCTCTGTGTCTGGATGTGGTTGTTACTACCACGAGGACTGTGTCCGTAAACTGCCAGGCACCAGCAGCAGTTCGGGCGGAGGTTTCAGCTGCCCTCAGCACAGCTGCTCTACCTGCTGCCTGGAACGAGACCTGCAGCGAGCCAGTAAAGGTGAAACAACCTCTGCTTTGTTTCTCAGCTGCTCTGATTTCCTGTTTGTTGGAAGCTGTGGGGCAATGAGCTGGTGTCACATCAGCAAAGTGTGAAGAAAGTGTATTAGAAAATAAAACTTTCGTTTTCCATCACAATTTAGGCTTCTGACAGGTGTTATTGACAAATAGCAACAGAAAAAGCTCCAATAATAAGTAGTGCAAGGGTCAGGGCTGCACTTCCTTGTTAGAATATATGAGAGGAAAGTGCAAGAGGAAAAAAACAAGGCACAATGTTTTTTTTTTTTTTTTTAGGAAAATTAGTTTGAGAAAAAGAGTACTGACAAAATTGGGCTACTTTTAAAATCTTGCAGAGCATATCCTGCAGAATATTTGGTGATGAGGTCTTGCAACAAACATCTGGCTCTACCTGAAACCAAAACTGCTTTATTTAGTTTGAGGTGAGAGGAATCTAGAGGCTGCATATCATTGGAGGAAAATAAAGTAATTGCCGTGTTCCTGGAAATGTCTTCAGATGATGGTGCTGTATCTTGGCAGAAATATCACATCTGAAAAAGGGAGGAAATGCACTGTGTTTGCAACAGAGTTTGGGTATCTTGTGGTTTGAAAATGACTCGCCTCAGACGCTGAAGTGCCAAAAATGTGCCTAGAAAACATCAGTCACTCTGGGACACCCACAACTAAAATGTTTACCTTTAGACATGTGGCAGAGTAAATGAAGTTTGTGTCTGACTCTGACCATACTATAAGTACACTACACATACTACATATAGATAGTTAAGAAAAGCTGGAAAGCAAGTAAATGAATCAGCTTGTGACCCATAAAAATATTTGTGGCCCCTTCACACGTTTCAGATGTCAATAAGTTGTTCCACCAAAGAGACATAGTTACATACTTTATCCAACACCAGTATACATCTCACAACACTCCAGACTTATCATTCGGTTCAGTCAAACTCAAGTTCCTTTGCTCCCTAAGTGCGGTTTGTTTGGGCAGGTGTGAACACTGCAATTGCACTCAGGTGCACACCAAAACAACCTGACTTGAGACCTTCTTGAAGAGGTGGTCTCGGTCTGTTTACAAACAAACTCTGGTGCAGTTTGTGGTGAGAACGTGTTCCGGCCTTGAGCCGAACCAACTGCAGTCACATGACACATTGTTTGGGCTAAACATGAGCATGTTACAGTCCTGGAGGATTATTAATGTGCACCTCCTCCTGTACTGCCTTAATATGCACATATGCAATTAGTCCCTGATTCGGACCAAAGCAAGACAACTCTAGGTCTGAAAGCACCCTTAAATGTCAAACCACATTCTTGCCTTCTTGTGAAAATAGAAATTAAAGAAGAAGACAAAAATACATGTCAACAACTCAAGTCTTGAGTGAGCTCAATGTGGGCAAGAGTCGTCAGAGTGACTATTCTGATCATAGGTTTCACTTCCTTCACAGTTATATCATCAACTGTTGATGACAACTATAGAATTCTGGTCTTAATCATATCTAACAACCAAAATCCTTTCAGATTTAGGTCCCTGAAGCGAAATCTTAGTAAATTTGGGTCCCTGACCTGATATGCATCAATTCAGCGGGTCCTTGACACATCAAAAGCTGAGAACTTCTGTTGTTAGCCACCAAAAACAGTGCTAAGTGGTTGTATTTTTATGCATCTGTGCAGCGACAGCTTTGGCTGGAGGCATCATGTTTTTGGGTTATGAACATTTTAAGGAATTTTTTTTGAAGCATCCAAAATTTTGAATATGTAGCTTCTTTGCAACCACATCCATATTGAAGCATTGTCAACTGTCATGGCTACATGTGAGTCTGGACAGACGTGGAAACTGTAACTTGACTGGTTGGCGGAGGCATACAGCCATGATGCGTTAATTCTAGTTCCCTTCTGATTTCTTTTAATTACAGTTCGAACACATAAAGAAATCTGACCTAATTCATCATAAAAACTCAACTCTGTGTGAGCTGCACTGTTTGACAGCTACAATACTCTACAGTCTTACAAAACTTTGTAAGACTGTTGTAAAGTGACTTCCGTCTCTCCTCTGCCTCTCACCCAGGTCGTCTGATGCGTTGTATCCGCTGTCCGGTGGCCTATCACACAGGAGACAGCTGCGTTGCGGCAGGCAGCGTCTCCATCACCCATCACATCATGATCTGCAGCAACCACGGCAGCGCCAAGAGGAACGGCCTCCTCACCTCTCCTATCAACGTGGGCTGGTGTTTCCTGTGTGCTAGAGGTAAGCTCTCACCACTGCACATGCTAACTGCCTTCCTCTCCTACAGTTGTGATTTTTTTGGCAGTGACCCTGAATAGACGGAGCAGACAAACGTGGAAGTTTTTAATTTTCCCACAATTGATGACTTTTGCTTCCACGGGCTGGTTTCAATCAGCTCTTCTTAATCGCACATTAGAGCATCACCAGGACTCGATCGCCCACCATGATTAGTTTTTTTTGTATCTTGTTTTAGGAATATAACTTCTTTTTTTTTTCTTTTTTTTTTTTTATGAAGACACACCTGCAGTTACATCTCATGAGTGAAACCTCATATATTTTTTATCCTCTAATATTACATGTTTCATGTTTGGTGGCATTGTTGTTCATGAATAGCAGTGCTGTGAACTGTAATGTTTGTTTTCCATCACGATACTAATACTATGAATGACACACTGCACTCTACTTAAAACAATCCCATCTGTCCTGGATGGCGATGAGTGAGAAAACAACAGGATTTTTTTTTATGTCTTTTTGACGAGTTTCGATCTGATGTTTTGCCTGTTGAACAAAAGTTGAGTGCACTGTTTGGCCCTTTTGTGTCGGGACCAACTTTGTTTTACTTGTTTCTTCTGTGTGTGCGTGTGTGTGTGAGAGACTGTGAGTTTTTGTTCTTTCTCTTTTTGTGAATTTTGGGTAATTTCGAGTTTGACTGCGGCTCACCCCCGTCTCTTCCTGTGTGTCTTGTGTAGGACTGTTAGTGCAAGACCTTACTGACACCATATTAAGTTCATATGCCTATAAGTCCCACTACCTTCTGACTGAGTCAAATCGTGCTGAGTTGAAATTACCTATGATTCCCTCTCCTTCGTCAGCTACCAAAAAGAATGTTGGGAAAGGTAACTGAACAGTTTTTCTCTTTCTCCTTTTGTCCCACTGGTCTGTGTTTGTGTTGTGCCTGCTCCCCTTTTTTTGTACGCATCTTTCATTTCAAAGCCTTGAGGTGCAAAGTTAATTAACTGGTCAAACACGCAGTTAATTTTAATGCAGAGTGGCGCAAAGTAACCTCAGCCAAGTTCCCTAACACATTAACAGAAAGCAGTGGGCCTCATGCAAGAACAGTTTTGTATTTTTTTGTCATCAGAGCAACTCTGCACTGAGAAAGAAATAACTAGAGACCATCTTGCAACGAGATCGCTCTGGCCACGATACCATGATCTGTGATTTAAAGCAAATGTCGGTAAAGTGGGAGAGCCAGTGGCCCCTTTCCATTTTCCAGGGCCCTTGCTCGGACCATACCTATCTTTTTCTTTTTTTTTAAGATTATTTTTGTGGGCTTTTTGCCTCTAATGACAGGACAGAGAGTGAAATGGGGAGACAAAGAGAGAGCGGGGACTGACATGCAGCAAAGAGCACTACTTTTGTGCCTTTTTTGTGCAAGCTTTCAAGAGCATGGCGGCAGGTTGCGTCTGAAAAGTTTCAGGACTCTATCTTGCACTGTTGCGACATTATCTTGTTCACAAAATTGGTACACAGACAAACAGACATATAATCACCTGGCACCTACCTGTGGTGGTTGCCGCAACAGTTGGAGTCACCAGTATCACATTTCACCATGTTGGCACACACACAGACTCACAAGGTGAAAACAATACCAGCCGTCGTGACATTGTTGTAGCTCAAAAAATGTTGAAAATATTCCCAGATCTTACGGTGGCCATGGTCTTCTTCAGCAGGTGGAAAATAGGAAACTGGTTTGATGTGATGTTTGATACTAAAAATATCCTGGTAAAGCAAAGTGGTCCATGATATGATGTCACTTTGATGGATAAGAGAATATAATTTATCAAGCTGTGTCACACTGTTTGATGCAGCTGAGGATTTTCTAAGATATGCCAATAAAACCACAAAATCTTTTCTGTGAATTGGCAAGCCACGATTTGGTCTGTTGTAGTAATTAATCTTTATTTAGTTATCAATATTCATTTTAGCTGATTTCGACAGCATATTTAAACCTCAAAGTAATTTAGAAAAAGGCGTTATGATTATTTCCTGTGGAGAAAAACACTATATTTTCGGCTCGTGAATTTTAGTTGTACCTAAAAAATATAAGTACAAAAAAAATGGTGCATGCAGTAAGTTCTCTTAAATCACTTGTATGTGAACAAATCTGTTTTGTATGAGTGGTTCTTGCACGAGGCCCATTGTGAGATTGTTTCTTGTACATCAACAGTCAATCTGGGTATTTATCTTTGCAATAAAGTTGTTATAAATATGCTGGGAAATATAATTGGTCATCAAACCTCCCGTACTTTAACTACGGTATGATGCAGGATGCTCTGGATTAATTCAGGTTCTGTCTGTGGTTTGTGGAGCTTATCACTGCTGGAGGCGCACTGCTTCTCTGCTTCAGCACTCTGGGCTTGTTTTTGATTTGAAAGGCCTCACCTCTTTTTTTATGCTGACTGCAACTAAGTTTTATTTTTGACTGAAATTTTTCAGATGAAATGAAATTTGGGCTCACCTCATTTTCTCGAGCTTCGACCTGCCTTGGATGGAATATAATTTCAATCAGGACTAGATTTGATTACAGTTAAGCAAAGATGAGTTCCCAACTGTGAGAATAGTGAAATTACTGTCTTTTAAAGTGACAAAAAATAAAACACATTGCAATATTATAAAATTATATGATTCCATGCAAGCTGGTCTGTGCAGGATGCAATATGTGTGATGGGAAAAGTTTGCTTCACTGGCAGGACTGCATGCCTGCTTTTTGCCAATAATTTGTTATCTGAGTATAACCCTGATCCATTGTTAACTCGCTGGCTGATTTTATTCCTGTGCTGCCGCATGTATTTCCCGTAGACTGGTCTTGGTACAGTGCTCTGAATCTGATTGCCAGACATGCTGAAACTGCTGCAGTGGAAGTTGTAACCGACCCGAGAACCCCATGCAGTGGTTTCCAAAAGTCAGTTATTTTCATGCAGTGCGGCTCTCACAGGAGTCTCCACTCGAGCAAAAAGCTCCTGGCACTAGTTTTTCATCTCAGAACAACGACCAGATGTTACTATGGTAGCTGTAGATACAAATGTCTTCCCAACAAGGACACTATTTTCATATCAAACTAGAAGTTGAAAAACAAAGATTTGTTGTTGTATTTGTGGTAATTAAACCTGTATTAGGCTTGTCTGCAAATTAGATTCAGAGTTTGTCCAGGTTTTGAGGTGCATCACCTAATCATACACTCCTCCTCTCTTTGCATACCCATTTCCTACAACGCATGCACACACTTACACATACACACACACACATACATACACATACATGTGTACATCCATACAAATGTAGGAGGCAAGTTGCTGTGCTGTGACACATGCCCAGCTTCCTTCCACCCGGAGTGTCTGGAGATGGAGATGCCAGAGGGGGCGTGGTCCTGCAGTGATTGCAGGGCAGGGAAGAAACCTCACTACAAACAAATTGTCTGGGTCAAACTGGGCAACTACAGGTACGCAGAGAGGACTGGTTCCAGATTGCTGAAGGTCGTGCAGCTTTCAGATTATGGTACAGTTACTTTTAAAGGAATACTTGACCCCCCAAATGACCATTTGTATATCAATAACTCACCCTGTGTTACGCTGAATTCATGAAGAAAACTTTGATTTTTTCGCATACCTACATGGTGAACAAAGAATCCAAAAACAGAGAAAATTCTTGATGAATTGAAGTCATAGGGGTCCACGTTTAACAACAGCAAAACACAAACTCACACAACTCATGCAGTATAATCAAAGTCTCATTTATCCAGTCATATGCTCAGCACTTCCCAAACAAACAGCCCTGATGAAACTAATCTCCGCTCTCTCAAAGCCAGTCTCTATTGACAAAAACTGTAATTTTACTTTGCTGAAAACATGAGCTGCTGGTCTACGACTGCCTCGATCAGTTTATTAGTTAAGTTTTATTTCTAGTTTATTTGTCTTATTTTGTGACACTGGTGAATCCAAAGTAAATCACCCAAGTCGTGCAATAACACAAACTACCGATTGAAACGGTGGTAGACCAGGAGCTCATGTGCTCAGCAAAGTAAAATTACAGGTTTTGTCAATGGAGTCTGGCTTTTAAGAGAGTGGAGATAAGTCTCCAGACAGGGCTGTCTGTTTTCGAAGTATTGAGTGTACGACTGGATGGACTGGACTGCAGGAGTTTTGTGAGAGTTTGTAAACTAACGTTTTTATATAGTTTTGCTGTTGTTAAATGTGGTCACCCATGATGTCAATTCATCAAAAATTTTCTCCCTCTTTGGATTCATCATACATTGTTTTCCTTACCAATTCAGCTTAACACAGGGTGATTAATTGATATACAAATGGTCATTTTGGGGAATTATGTCTTCCTTTTAAAGATAAGTCTGGTGATATTCTATATTTTTCTTGTCATCAAAAAAAAAAAAAAAAAATCCCAAGTATGACCAAAACCAACCACAGACTTATGTCTGTAGTAGGAACAAATGTGCTTTGGGCTGCCACCACTGACAGGCCAGTGGCGGACTTATTTTTGTTTTATTTATAGCATTAGATCTGTAAAATATGTACAAATAATGGAAAATCACCGGTCTTATTGTTTACGTTCAGTGCAACAAATTTGCTTTGCACCTCGTACTGAAACAGGATGTGATATGATGTTACAGATGCAGGTATTCAGGAAATACTGAGCAGAGCAGAGCAGTGGTGTTTTCCTGTTTCACGATGACTGTGTGACTGTGCTCTTATATACTAATGCTTCAGTTTGTAGTCTGCTGGCATGGTGCTAGATTACAATGTAGTAACGGGACACGAATAATGTCTCTTCCATTTAAGAAAAATGATTGACAGCATTTCTGTCTGTGAAACATGTAGATCTATGATTTGCTGGAATTTGTGTGAAAACTATTTTTGTAAAATTATCGTCCACATACGTTTTGATAGAAAAGAATGGGAAGCAAAGTAAATGTTTTAAAAGTTTGGTACAAGTTTGATACTTCCATCAGGCTTTGATAACATTAGCTGACATGTTTGATAATTTATTTTTTACGACACTCTTTCTGTCCTCACTTTTCTCCTTCTCACTGAACTATGTCCCTGTCCTGTTTACCCCACAGGTGGTGGCCAGCAGAGATCTGCAACCCTCGCTTGGTGCCGTCAAACATTCAGAGCCTTCGCCACGACATCGGTGACTTCCCTGTCTTCTTCTTCGGCTCCCACGACTACTACTGGATCAACCAGGGTCGTGTCTTCCCCTACGTGGAGAATGACAAGAACTTCGTCACGGGTCAGATCAACATCAACAAAACCTTCAAGAAAGGTAAATTCTTCTTCTATTTTGAAGACAATTTTTTGTGATGTAATCGTTTTAAAGATGCATGAAGGATGAATCTCTGAGATGCTGTTGGTGTGTTTTTAGCTCTGGAAGAAGCAGCCCGGCGGTTTCAGGAACTTAAGGCGCAGAGGGAGAGCAGGGAGGCTTTAGAGCAGGAACGCAACTCTCGCAAACCTCCACCGTACAAATTCATCAAGGTAATGTGAATTTAATAGACAAGTAACCTTAAAATTGTATAAGTTGAAGTATTTTTACTCATTATGTGGGTGTTTTCTTGTTTCAGTCCAACAAACCAGTGGGAAAAGTGCAGATGCACGTAGCTGACTTGTCAGAAATCCCACGATGCAACTGCAGACCAACAGATGAGCATCCTTGCAGCCTCCACTCCCAGTGTCTCAACCGCATGCTGCAGTACGAGTGTCATCCACAGGTCTGTATACATGTCTATTCAGCTTATCTCTCGAACAATCAAACAGATGAGACAGTCATGAGAAATTACACTTCTTACTTTTTATGTTGTTGTTGTCAGGTGTGTCCTGCAGGAGACAGCTGTGAGAATCAGTGTTTCTCTAAGCGGCTATATGCAGAGACAGAGGTGATAAAGACAGATGGACGTGGCTGGGGTCTCAGGACCAACCAGGGTCTCAGGAAGGTAAGCTAAATCTTTTCACCCTAAATAGCATCCCTAGAAAGCAGTCATTATGGAGCTGTTGGTGACAGACAGTGGCTTTGTTCCAGTACAGTTATAAAATATCCATATTAGTAACAACACTTTTTTTCTTAAAGTAAGGTGTTGCTATAGAAACTTCAAAACACACATTATGCAACTAATTATACTCAAATCCAAATATGAATTGTCTGCAATAATGTCCACCAGAGATATTAGGGAAATATAACCAGACATATATATAGTGGTTGCACTTGCAGATTTGTGCATCACAGACTAGAAGATTGACCTTGGCGGAGGTCTGGACTGTCTGAGTTCCCTTCTAGAGATAGGTGAAGGACAGATAATAACTGGCATTACATCACTCAGTAGAGGGTACCAGTATTTTCTATGTCATTTCACAAAACTTGACTTTGGTTTTCTCTGGATGATTGCATTTAAAGTTTGGAACTACCTCGATCCACCAGTCTGATACTTAATGACCTGATGATCAGACTGTCAATTAAAAAGGCTCTGAAACATGTGTCCCATTAAATCGTCCTTGACATTGATCCTCGCCCGTATCACTAATCATAAGTAATTTAAAGTCAGGCTGTCTGTGTAAAAATATCATGTTTCTTGTTTCCTTCAGGGTGACTTTGTTACAGAGTATGTGGGAGAGGTGATCGACTCTGAAGAGTGCCAGCAGCGAATCAAACGTGCCCATGAAAATCATGTGACCAACTTCTACATGCTCACCCTCACTAAGGTAACATAAAAGATAAACTAATAAAGACTGTTCAGAGGAGAGACCTACACCAGCAATTTCTTTAACCCTGGTGTCTTAATGTTTGTCTGTGCTTGTAGGATCGTGTGATCGACGCTGGCCCCAAAGGAAACTCCTCTCGGTTTATGAACCACAGCTGCAGCCCAAACTGTGAAACCCAGAAGTGGACGGTAAACGGAGACGTTCGCATTGGACTCTTCGCCCTCTGTGATATCGAGGCTGGTAAGTTCACGTAGAAACATGACACATATATGCTCTATAACATTCCTACATGTGCCTTACAGGCCCCTGAAGTGAGCCAGATGATAATGACGGAACACATCTTGTCTCTGGTGTTCCTGCAGGCACAGAACTGACGTTCAACTACAACCTGCACTGTGTGGGCAACAGGAGATCATCTTGTCACTGTGGATCAGACAACTGCTCTGGATTCCTCGGGGTGCAGCCAACGGTGAGGACGTTTACCTGTCGTCGCCTTACCTCCACTTCTAGATCAATCCTGACTGTAGAAGCTGTGTTTGACACCATTTTGTGTTTCTTACAATGCTTCCTCTAGAGCGCTGTGGTAATGGAGAAAGAGGAGAAGGCCAGGAACGCTAAGCTGAAGCCGAAGAAGCGGAAGCTGCGGCCGGAGGGTAAACACACGCACGAGTACTTCTGTTTTTGCTGCGGAGAAGGAGGCGAGCTGGTGATGTGTGACAGAAAGGACTGTCCGAAAGCGTACCACCTGCTGTGTCTCAACCTCACCAAGCCGCCATACGGTAATGACACATTGAGCTCGTATGTGTGTGTGAATGTTGAAATGTGGTTGATAACAGATATTTTTCATGTCCATCTCAGCTGATATTAGCAGCATAACATACTTGCTGTGACAAAAAAAAAATCTACTTTAGTAGTACTTATACTGACTTATTACAGCAAACTAACATAACAACAGGTCAATTTCTAAACCATGGGTCTCCAACCTTTTTGGTTTGTGACAGCTCAAAACAGGCAGTGTCTGCATGCAGTGTCTGGTTGTCATAAAGTCACTAGTTGCAAATGATACTGACTATATATATATTTTGTCCTTGTTATCTAAATAATTTTATGTGTCCACTAATTTACAAGAAAAAAGCTAGTATTCATTTTTATTTATTTGATTTAAATATAAAGATATATTTATAGATTTGTTGTGGCAAAAGTATGTTGTTTTCTGCTTTTCTGTCATTTTAATCATTTCATGACCCCACATATTTTTTTTGTGCACAGGATTGATTTATCCATTTATCCACGTTACAAAAAACATACTTTCTACATACTTTCTAGTTTTGTTTACGGCTGTACAGAATGTGAATTTTTTACATTCAAAGCTTATACTGAGGTTTTTGAATGAAGCTTTGAATGTCTTTCATCATGTTTTATGACGTCATCACCATAAATATTGAAATGATAAATATATATTTTTAATAAATCAACCTTTTTAATGAATAGATTTAATTTAAGTCAGTGGTTCCCAACTGGTCTATCCTGGGATCCAGATTTCTCCTTAGTCATTAGTTCAAGGTTCACACAGTTTAATACATTCAGTGTCATGCTTGCATTTGTCGAGCTAGTTTGCTGTCTCTGTTAAGTAGCTGTCCTCAAGTCACTCAATCTACAGCAAGAAATGCCATTTCAAAGTAAAAGCTCTGTGCTGGAATTCACTGCACTTAAAAATAAAGTGTGTTTTTTACAAACTTGACACTTTGGCTAGTCACTTGCGGTCCATTCAGAATGGACTTGCGACCCACCAGTTGGGAACCACTGATTTAAGGTGCTGCTCAACCACTCTGTTAATACCAGTGTGTGCCTCCCTTTTTGAGCAGCAGGTGGAAGAACAAACACTTTTTTGACTGTAATGAAAATATTTTTTAAAGGCTAAACACCAACAAATACGAAGCAGAATAATTCATTAGCTATAAACATGTTTGAACTTTGGAAATAATTTCATTGATCCTTGTTCAATCAGTTCTGACTTTTGGAATTTACAACATGCTGGAGTTATTGGAGATGTTTGATCACATAAGTCAGAAACAATCCTATGCAGCCACCACTGCAATCTAATTCTAAAAATAGTATAACACTAATAATATTAGTATAGCCTAATCTTTATCTGCAGAATAGATAGATATTCAGAAAAAAATAAAAGAAATAAAAGGGTCTCCATGGCCAGGTATCACCAGAGGTTGGTGAGACAGTATGTCTTGTGTAATTTAGGTGAACTAAACCTTTCAGAGATGGTTGGCACAAACTTGGTGTTGTTGGCATCATCATATCAGTGCCACACATTCACTGTAATTAAAACATGCTTTAAACAGTTTCCAGATACTGATATTCTGACAACAGTGACCATGAAAACTCAATATATATTATAAATATTTTTGGCTTGTGACCCCTTCAAACTTAATAATATAAAATCGTGACCCCTTATCACTGGTCGCACACGTCCAGTGGTTGTGACCAGTTCAACCAAAAACTGGAAATTAGAGCATATCTGAAAAAACAAACAAACAGAGACATGTATTTTCTGCTCTCCTATGCTGTTAATCATCTCATGACCTGTAAAATTTATCTTGAGACCTTCAGTGGGGGTTTGAAACCATAATGACCTCCACGTTTGTCTGCAGGACGTTGGGAATGTCCGTGGCACGACTGCAGCATTTGCGGGGCCCCGGCCTCATCTCTTTGTGACTTCTGCCCCCGCTCTTTCTGCCGGGATCATGAGGCGGGGGCGCTCACCTCCTCCTCCCTCGAAGGCCGCCCCTGTTGCTCCAGTCACAACCCCGCCAGCCCCCTGGGCTCCAGCTCGACCCAGCAGCGCCGCGCCGCCCTGAGCCCTGTCAACGTCAAAGAGGAGCCGGAGGCGGGCCAGCCGGCTTCAGAGTGACATCGCAGTTCCCTCAATACCTCATTCCCTGTAAAGTGCACTCCTGTTGGCCCCCCCGGGCTCTGATCCACCTCTGATCTGAAGCAGTGCACCATAAAAGGGAATACAGTGCTTTTTGACCAGTGCGATGGCCGAGTTGAGACACACAGACGAACACCTCAATGCCGTTTGTGGCGACAGCGACTGGAGTGTCGGCAGGGGAAGTGACCAGGCATCATTGTGCACAGTTTTCTCTCCCTTCTCTTGCTACTAAAACACCACTATGAACGCTCTCTACAGCTCGCCTGTGCCCATCGGAGGGCCCGGGCCACCACCTCATTATGTTTCTTTTTTTATTTTTACAGCTGTGGAAATTTTAAGTGTTGTCACGTCGTCAAGTTACCGGCACTTTGAAGAACTCAGCAAGTGAGGTGGAGGGAGAGGTAGAGAGAAGAGGAGGAGGAGGAGGATGTGAAGCTTAACCTCTCCACCGCCACGCTGCTCCTCTCCTTGTTCACCTGCTGTAAGCCGTGGTCAGCATCTCACACACAGGATGGCTGTACGGAGATGAGCCAGCCTTCGTCCTCCTTCTCCTCCTCCTCCTCCTCCTCCCCCCAAACAGCCGACCATCACTCCAGACGTGAGCTGTCATCGTATTTATCTCTTCTTCTTCTTCGTGGAGGAAAAAAAGGGGGGAAACGACTGATTTTGTGCAATTTTTTTCAGGACCACACTACATTCCAACCTTCCTTAGACATGGTTTTAATATACTTATGGGTATAGATGAATATAATTATATACAGTATCTATGTTTGTTAATGTTTACAGACAGATTCTCTCACTTCATCTCGGTGAGTGGTGTATTATGTTTGTTTGTTTAGGTGTTAAGCATTACGCAGACCTCCTTGTGAAAATAGTCCTATTAAGGTGAAATATAATGGTATATAGTGTAATGGTATGACATTACAGAAGTACTTGTGATTTTCATATTGCCAGTCTCACTCGCCATTGTGTACATAATTGGCTCATAATATTGTAAAGTACGTAAAAGACCAGGAGGGATGGAGCCTTGCCTCTCTGGTTGTTCCTAGAAGAAGGAAACGCTTTTTTAAACGACAAGACAGATGCTTTTATTTTCTGTTTTTTTTTGTTTTGTTTTTTTTTTCTGTTCCCACATTTCCTCCGAGCGGTTACCGTTATTTGTGTTGTAGACGGAGGGGCTCAGTTTGTGATCACTGGTGCTGTCTTAAAGTATTGTTCATCAGCCTTAAGTTGGATTCTGGCTGTAGTAACTACTGCCCAGATGCAGTCCATTTCAGTAACGTTGTGTACTGTGACCGCTTCAATGCTTGTTTTTTTTGTTTTGCCAAACTTTTCTGAAAAGCACTTTTACACGGCTTGTCGCTACACGGTTTAGATAGGTCATAACATACAGAAATGTATATTAAAAGAACATAAGACAAGTGTTTCAAAATGGATACCTCTTCTTCTTGTAGTAACGTCGGAATTTAAACTGTGTTGTAACTTTTTTCCTCTCAGTCAAAAACATGGTGAGTTGCTGGGCACGTTTTTTTTGTTTGTTTGTTTGTTTGTTTGTTTTGAGGAAAGTGGCCTAAATGCTGCTGGTTTCTTTTGGCACAAGTAGGAATGACCGCCAGCCTGGCTTCGTACGGAAAGGTCCACAAGAGGTACTCCTTCATTTTCCACCTGGAGAACATCCTCAAGGCTGGGCTTTCTATAAAGACGTAATGGTATAACAACAGTCCAGTATGATGTACAAATACAAACTCCTGTACAGTGTTTTTACTCGCTCATCTGTCAGATCCAAATTTTTTGTATTTATTACACCACATTTTATACCAATTTGTTTTTCAGACACCAGTGCAGTAGCTTGTCTCCCTCTCCACCACAGTGTAAGTGAAATAGACTATTTAAAAAAACATTGGGAGTTTTACATAATATATCTGTATTTAGTCATTGCATTTTTTTTTTTTTTTTAACATTTGGTGTAATGATTCCACACGTTGGTAACAGCCGCTGCTCATCGACTTGTATCGTGACTCACTGTAATTGGTGTTAAAAGCAGTGTGAAGCAGTTCAATATAGGAATGTAAAGATTCAGTTTCAGAGGAGTTTTTGTGCTGTTTCTTTTTTAGCCTGGACTCAAGGACGTTTATTTGTAATCACGCCTCAACTTTTTGCTTGTGATTCTACCCCAGTTACATCACTGTTGTGTTTCTGCCCTTAAAAGATTGTTTTTGTTTTGTTTTTTGAAGCCTCTCGACATGCTCGTGTTAAAAGTCAAGCCACATGGTAAAACTGTGCCAGTGTTTCCAAACCATTTCAGTTAATTCGGAGTCTTGACAAATGCAGAGTGCATACATTCAGTTGCCAGTTTATTAGGTACACCGAGATAGATCTAGCGCAGCATAATGCAAAAGTCTTGCAATAAATCCGCCTCTGGGAGTTCAGAACCAGTTCCAATATTTCCAATCCATTGTAATCATACACCTCCAAGCTTATCAAACCCTTTTATCAATGCCGACTTGTTTCTCTAACAGTTGCACATTGCAAAACTGATGTCAAACTCATGCATCTTCACTGCTGAAAACTGAAAACAAAACAGAAGGTAGAAATGGTCCCAAAGCGCAGCTAAATTTCATGAAGACAGATGACAGTGCTGCTTGTAGTGTCTGTAAAATGATAATTTAAGGGTGGAAACACCAGCAAACAACTTTGACTAACAAAACCTAAATAAAAACTAATGCTGTATTTGCTCATTTTGTCCATTTTAGATAGTTGATGGTAGACTGTTCCTACAGCTTCCTCTCAGGCTACATCTGGCTTGACTCGAATCATCAGCTCCCTATTTAAAGCAGAAATATTATCAGGAATCTATCAGAGAACCGTGAAAGAATTGGACCGATAAGTAGAATCGATAAAGGCATTGGTATGAAAAATATTTTATCAATTCACATCCCTGTTTATGAAAATTAAAATGTGTAGTTTTTGTTGACACTGCTTTAGAGAGGTGTTGAGACTGCAGTTTGTGATACTATTGAGCTCTACTGAGCTAAATTGAGAGATGTTTCTAATATTTTGTTTAGTCTCATTGATGTTAACATGATGGACACAATATAAGAGATACCTCTGTGTTGAATGTCACACAGTTCACTAGTACCACAAACTACATCAGAGCGACTACAACACCTCTAAAACAGTTCCATCAAAAACTAAGCATTGTAACCTTTGTAAATGATTAATTTCAGGACTGTTGTATTAAACGGCATTAGTTTTAACTGAGTGTAAATCATGAAGAAAAAAGACTAAAGAAAGGGAAAACAAGGGGAGCCACTGCAATCAGAAAAGTGAGAAAGTTCCAGACATGATTGAAGACAGAAAAAATAATTTAAATCAGACACAGTGAAAGTCAAACACTGAGGTAAAATAACAATAAGCCAAACACATTTTTAAGGGGAGGGGTCTTAAATATAATAAATATATGCACATATGTAGACATGCACTTAATCAGATCAAGAACGCAGAAAAGGCTTGCCGTTAGTTATTACAATAAATTCCTGTATTTGCACGCAAATTTAAAGGGAAGACCTTTTTTTTTTTTTTTGAAACTGGACCCTGTTTTCTTGTTTTTGTGACAAATGGAGACAATAATTTTTGAAACTGGTTCAGTATTGAGAGAGAGTGTTGCAGCCGCAGTGGCAAAACAGGCTGCAATGTTACCCAGTGGGCAATCGTGCACTGTCAATTTATGTCCATTAAAAGTGCTTGTTTTTGTCTCTGTTTGGTGTCTGACAACGTTATGTAAAGGATCCAGTCAGAGGAATGAAATGTTTTTCTTCACCTTTAGCTGGTCTGTTTGTTATTGCTACCAAGTCTTCCTCAAGGAGGAAGGAAAGAGGCTGGAAAATTAACAGTTTAGACGTTAGTGAGAGTTGAGGAGAGGAGTGCTGGGAAGAGTTTATTGTGCTTTCACAAGATTTTCAATATCATGGCGGAATATTTCATGAGTTTTCAGAACTAGACTTCTCCTTCAGTGAGACTTAGCAAAAGAGCGGAAAATGTTTAATTTCTCTGTAGGGATCCTTTCCATAATGTTGTCATACACTTGTAATAACAATCTGAGCCTGTCAGTGACAAAAACAAGCACTTTTAGTGGACATAAATTGAGGGTGCACAGTTGCCCATAGTGATATTATTGCAGCCTGTTTTGCCTTTCTAAATTCTGGACCAATGTCAAATCTTGTCTCAATTAGTCACTTGGACACAGATACATGGGGAAAAGGGTCCAGGTTGAAAAATACTTAAGCTTCCCTTTAACTTATAAATTTTTCTCATCTTCTGCATTCAACAGCTGCTCTTGTTCTTTCTGTCATCACTGACCCTTTTTGTTCTCATGGACTCCTGAAAAAGACTGAACTTGCTGATTTCTTGCTGCTCCCAAATTTGCCAAACTTTCTTGCCTGATGTCACACAGAATTGTCAATTCGGTGGAGTGGGCAGCTTCAAAGGTCTGGACCCAGGCGACAAACTCTCCACATTCAGAGACACATTATTATTCAGTAGTCAGCCGTAGGAATTAGGCCACTTCAGTACTTGTTCAGTATCAGGTAGGTGTGTCATGAAGTCACTTTCATTAACAAACTGAAAACGATCTGCATGTCAAAACTTGAATTTTCTTTAGTTTTTTTTATTTATTGATGTTTTTTTGTGATAATCAGACTGCAGGCATCCTCGACTCTTGTGTTTGTGGCTTCAGAGAAACGGACTGATGAGTTGTGATTATATAACTGGTCTTAAGCCTTTTCTTTGATTTTCAAGGCGACTGTTCAGCTGAAATGCATGCCTCCAACATCAGACACTGGTTTAATCCACTTCAGTTCGAGATGGTCTTTAAATGCCTGATTATTTGTTTTTACCACATTGCACAGAGATGTGCAACAGCCTTTTTTTTGTTTTGTTTTTGCACCTGCACATCGCATGATCCCAAATTAGTTTGTGCCAGTTTGTCCTCTTCTGCCCTTGTCAGCTGATACAGCAGCAGTATTACGTATGTGTCCCAGCGTGCATCATTTCAATCACTTAAAATATTCTCTGATGTGTATGTTTTGTTCTCATTGTAATTCCCACGTTTGTTTTCTAAAGAGACAGCATGTTTGTTCTCATTTAAGTGACCCTTAAATACGCCTGAGGAGGATTTTTCTAAGTGTCCAGGATTATTATTTTTTATATACACTTAAAATTTGGGACGGACCCCCCCTTGTGTGTCAAAGGGTATGTTTCAGTTCACTGTGACGTCTTTTGGTTTTGTGCAATGTCGCCGACTGTCTCTTTCAATTGACATGCTGTCAAAGGAGAAATAGTGTTGGAATAAATAAATAAATTCACCTTCATAAGCACTCATAATCTCTTTTTACTTGTAGTAAAATTACTTACAGTAACTCTAACTGGGGTCATATCTATCTCTCTTGGTGTTGCTTCAATTAAAACGTGGATGAACACAAAATACCATGTTGATTACTGTTCAGCCTGTGTTACTGCATACTGCATATTGTTGAAGAACTTGTAAATAGTTTGCATTGAACTTGCATAGACTCATGTTACTGTGGCGTGCTCTTTTTGCCTGTACAATTCTGCTTCTAAATGTGTGTGACTGTTGAGACGACACTCTTTTTGTACATGACTGTCTTTTTATTTGAGAATATTGATTCTGTCCTTTTTCATTCTAAAGTTGAGTTTGAAGAGTTCAGACATGCCTGAAGTTTGACTTTAATAAAGCTGTACTCTGTCTCAGTGAAACGCTCTCACTCTATGGGATTTATTTTAACTGTATTGTATGTACCACAAATAATGCATTGTATTTACCAATCAGATGACCGATGCATCATCACAAAAAAATAATTGAAACTTTAAGAAAACATTAAAATAAGTTAAAAGTTGAGTCTAGGCTTAGAAGAGACAAAACAATTCATCATGACTAAGTGTGTTAATCGCATGGGATTTTCCAAAATAAAAGTACCACCTAGGTTGAAAGGGAAAGACACTAACAATACATTCATTCATACTGTAAAGAAATCAGAAATAACTTTAAATACAAAACTTGAAAACTGTGAAATCAGAGAAAGTGGACAAAGCCAACAGTTTAATTGACTTGAGGAGAAAATAAAAATTCATGCAAGCATTGATATTTATCCTCTAGATGGCTGTAACGTGACGTGGCTTTTTGCATATACGTATCAAGGCGGAGAAAATCACTTACATGGCCACTTCCGGTTTATAAAGCACTCCAGAGCACTCACATTTTAAAACACACACACACAATTGGAAATGCTCTATTTCTGTCCACTTAGTATTTTAGATCAACTCCAGTGACTATGGAATAAAAAACTATAAAATATGTGACATCTTAAAAAATGTTTTAGAAACTTCTGTGGTCAAATGGCAAGTTCATTTAATAAAAATAAAATAAAACTTAATTTCCAAAGCACATGATTGGGGCGTCGGTGACTAAGGGTTACTACTCAGTGGATAGAGCAGGCGCCCCATAAACAAGGCTGTTGCGCAGGGGCCCGGGCTCGACCCCAGCCTGTGGCCATCCCCCGCACGTCACTCACAGTTACAAAAATGTGTTCTGCGCAAGTGGCTTTGTAAGTGATGATTTCACTTTTTTTTTAAATTAATTTGAATAAAAAGAAGATTTAAAAAAAACAACAAATAATAAATTCCACAGGCTTGCAGTATGAAACATGCATTATGACAAAAATATTAATAATAGTAATAAAAAATATAATTGAGCAGTATTCTAAATCTGTGTTCGCTATTATCCAATAGTAAAAATAACAAAATAATTTGCTACAGAAATCCTTAACACAATTTCACACAAACAACACACTCCACAAGACACATTTAAAACAACAGAAGTACTCAAACACATTGATGCATCTTAAGTTCATTATTTATTCAAGTGAATTTTATTGATTACTTTTTAAATAAGTATTACCAGATAAGCCTCTTAATTTTTCGACAATGCTGGTATGGACTTAACTGACAGGAATTCCCAGAGAAATATAATAATGCTGATTTTGATACACTCAGGGTTCTGCCAGTCCCTTAGAGTATAAATATTATTGTTTATTTTTGTGTTGCATTTTATCTGTACTCAAACTGGGAATGATATAATAATATTTGGAAATAAAATATGATGTTAAGAAAAAAGTAAATAGTTAAGTAAATAGTAATTACTTTGTCAAATGACATCGCTACATTTAAATTCACGATTTTATTTTGAAAATGCTGAACCGGAAATAGCCCGGATGTAGCCGTTAGCTTCACGGAGCGCTTATCTCCTCCGTGGCATCCTTGTTTCTCTCAAGTCCTCAAATGTGCGACTCTCACCGTCGGCACAGACAGAGGATGTGGTGGCCCACTTCACGTTAACGGCGCACGGTAATACAAGGATGAAGAGATAAAAACACAGCTTGTTGAAGGTTAGTAACGGAACCGGGATTCCCTGTTTGACAACACGGAAACGGGCCAGATGTCTTGTTTGACAGATGTTGCTAGCTAGCTTAGCTTAATCTGCTAACATCTTCTTTCTACAACACAGGCACATAGTGTTAGCTTGTTGGTCTTGTTCTGTGTACTGAGAGAAGTCGTGCATTTAGTGCTGTTAATATAAAAAACAGGCTTAGTGTTATATGAGGTTAGATAACGGCAAAATAGTGTGTGCATCACCTAGAAGAGGAGGACACAGGTGCAGCATGTTGGCCTTTGTATCAGGTTTCAGACAAGGCAGGGGACTTCACACTGTAAAATCTGACAGACACTCAGCATTATCTTTATTAGTAATTCACCAAATATATGCACAGAGTAAAAGTGTTGAAGATAGTGTGTAGAAAAGAAGAATATCTTCATAATTGATTAGGTTTTTTTCTCTTTGTTGAGACAGATAACGTTATTACTTAAAGGACAAGGGTCAAAAAACTCTGCTGATGTGGGACTCTAAAGCTCACGGTGAAATTACATCTGATAATGGGGTTTTCTTTTAACTGTGATTTGAAATCAGGAAATGGTCTAATGTGTTTCTTAAGACCGGAAGGACATTATTCCTGTCTTTATACTGACACTTGTATCAACTTCAGGAGCATCAAACTTTTTCAAAGAGGCCAGTGCAGGGGTGGACTAAACCATTATGCGTATTTAAGGGGTGTGGGGGGCCTCAAAAAGCTTCTTCTGTTTTTTTATACAAAGCTCAGTCTTTCAAATTAATTATTCAGCCTAGTTTAATTTAGTTATGACACTAATTACTTAGAAATAAACAGCAACAGACATACAGCAGCATTCATAGGCTACTGTCAAGGATGTGGGATTAAATTCAACATTGGAGGGGACATATGAAACGGGGGGTTTGAGGGTCCTCCACCAGAAAATTTTATCCATCAGACACTAGATTTCCTGCATGCTGGAGAATATTCTGCACCAATTTGGGGTATAAATGACTTAAATTTGGTCATAAAATCCTCTGCTGCTGTAATGTTTTTATCAGTGGGGACAGATGCACATGTTATAAAGATTAAGGGGGAATGTGCCACCTGCACGCCACCCCAAAATCTATACCTATAGGCAGTATATTAATCCTTTTTTTCCTCCTTTGCAAATTTAAGCTTAAAGGGAAAAAACAATGTTTTCTGGCCAGTTAATCTCGCAGTCCAATATTTCAGCCAATATCAACTTCTCACATATACAGTATAATAGAATAAGTGTATACTTTGTTCTACAAGTGAGATGCAAAAGATGTGTTTTAGTACTTTAGAGTCAGTTTCTCTACATTATTCGTCCTCCAAAGTTTCTTTTTCCTTTTTTTACATACTCTTTATTTGTCAAAATTATAGTCTCTTACAGCAGCTGAGTTACTTATAGGAACAAAAGAAAAGTGTCAATCTTAAGAACATCTACTGTATGTCCCTCTCACCCCACCCCATGATCCCAACATCTCAAATAACAAAAACAAGCAAAACAAATAAGCAAAATAATAGTAAAATAGATATGATAGTAATATAAAAAGGAATGAGTATCCGTAAGGCTGCAGGCAACTGATATAAATATTCAGTTTTAACAAAAATAACATGAGTATCAGGGAGATGTTAGGTGAGTTGTGCTGTAAGAGAGGGTCACCTCTAAATCTCGGTCTGTTGTCTCAGACAACATCCCCTCCATGTTGAGTTTTCGATGCTTCATCAGGGCGGAGGTTTTGCCTCCCTAAGTGTTACAGATTGTCCTTTGTCCCGTCCTTTGTCCCATTTGCTATCGCTTATCTTAACTAGCAGTGACCACTAATTGTCCATGATTTACCCCTGACAGTGTGTGATACTGGATTCTGTGTGTTATGTATTGTACGGTCTGTTTTGCTGTACTCATGACTACTGTCTGTATCTCAATTTGCCCCTCTGGGACATTTAAGTTTTCCCTTACCTTATCTTAGTCTTTCTCACACTGTCCTCAAAGTACTGTCAGACAAAGTAAGTGAAAACACCTATCTGGTATGGAGGACCTTTTAAACGTCGAAATAAGTGTCCTGACAAGGCAAAGCCAATTTATTCTTTTCCTCAGATAATCCATCAGGACTATAGAGAGCAGATTTTTTTGTACTATTTAATAAATGTGTCCACATTTAAATGAAGTATAAGGTAATTACATTTACTGATTTTCCAGTTGCACACCCACAATTTCTCTAACTGATGAAACATAAGCTTACCACTCACTTTTTCCTTTCTTTTGTTTTTTTTTTGTAGTCCCAGTTAAGTCAAATGAAAGTGGAGTGATGATGTTTGCTGTTGACTGAAGTCCACTCCAGCAAACAAAATGAAGAGGAGGCTGCTTCGTGGTTTCCTGTCGGAAGTTTCCGTCCGGATGGCTCTGTTGCTTGTGTTCCTGTAAGTATGTCCAGCTGTGAATAGTTTGCATAACTGTTTTACGGTTTCATTATTTAAAAGGCAGGCATTGTTTCAAATGATGAGATAACAAAGATACAAACCTAGCTTCTGTGGTGTTGGTGTAGTGTGACGGAGCAGCTTCCTCCTTTCTACCGTGAGATCCAGCCGGAGGAGATGTGGTTGTATAAGTTCCATCGTGTGGTGAGAGACCATGTACCCACTGCTCTTATGTTTGTAAGTACTATGTCTGCATGTCTTCGAGTTAAAATGGGACATAGTAATTCCCCTCTTACCTCATCCTTCACAACAATCAGTATATCTGAACTCACTTCCCTCGTCTTTGTGTTTAAAGGACCTTGTAGCACATGACCTTGTAGCAATGAATGTTTAAAGGACCTTGTAGCACATGACCTTGTAGCAATGAATGTTTAAAGGACCTTGTAGCACATGATGAACAGTTTACATCACTGTGACAACCATTCTCCAAAGCATATCATGCGTTTTTAAATTAATTCCCCATGTTCCACACAACCACCAGTTTCATTACAATTGGAAAACCAATTTGCAGGGACATGACCACAGATGAGGTCATTTTCCACATTGAAAATCATGTATTTTATTTGTGTCAAAAACATCAGTGTCACTGTGTAATAAAATACTGTGGATTTGTTTCAAATGCAAGACTCTGCAGCAAGAAGATAACTTTAGCATAGAAGTTAAATAATAAATGATCACAGTATAGCCTTAGGTTTTAATTTATTCAAACAATTAAGTCTCTGAAAGTTGATTTTCTTTCTGTGGCAAAATAAACAGAAACCAGTGTCTGCTTATATCATCTCTTCAAACTAGTGTGTGCTTCCCAAAAATTGTAATATCTGTAGAATTTTTAAGTGTGAGTAGAGTAATTTGAAGTCAGTTGTCTTAAACATGGACAAACACTGACATAAGCCCTTAATGCATGAGACTAGTGTTACCCGGGGACCTCTAGCAATTTGTAATCATTTTGGAGGTTGTCTACAGTTTGGTCCTGTGCAAATGTGCTGCACAAAACAGACGTGGGGTGTAATTTCTAAATCACAAGGTCCCCTGGTAAAACTGGTCATGTGAAAATAGGGCGAAAGTCCCCTTGAAACACTTTTATTTAATCAGTATATATGCTTGCTTAGAGACATTGGATTAGAGTTGTTATACTCTCTTCTCTTGTGTTGTCCCTATCAGAGTGTGGCGGTGTTCACCCCGCTGATTGTAATCGTGGTTTTCGCCTTCCTGAAGAAGTCAGAGCGAGGAGATCTGAAGGAGGCCACGCTGGGTAAGAAAGCTGAAAATAGACATCTGATTTTTCATAATAAAATAAAAATTGTAAACTAGTTTGTTGAGTTGATTTGTCTTTTTCACCTCCATCATCCAGCTGTGACTTTGACTCTGGTGCTGAACGGAGTCTTCACCAACGTCATCAAACTGGTTGTTGGCAGGTAAACATTCTATACAGACACAACCAGTGATAATGAAACCCAGTGTCACAGTGAATAAAAGCCTAAATCTGTCTTCTCTCTGTTTGTCCCCGCCTCAGGCCACGGCCAGACTTCTTCTATCGCTGTTTCCCAGACGGTCAAATGAACCTGGAGTTGCGCTGTAGCGGTGACCCAGATGTAGTCATGGAGGGCAGGAAGAGCTTTCCCAGCGGGCATTCTTCCTGTAAGGGCCTTTTATAGTTGATTATGGCTCAGTAACTGGTACATTTTCATCAGCAGGCAGAAACAACAAATGCACACAGTGGGGCAGAAGGGCATGTAATCTATCTCAAAATAGATGCATTTAAGTGTATTTTAGCCTCCAGGCTCTTATTTTGTTATATGAGCAACAGAACATCCTGTGTTACTCTTTAAAAGCGTCTCCATCTTTAATCCCTCTGTTTGTTGTTTTGCCTTCGAGTTCTTTGTCTCTGTATAAAACTTCCTCTGGCTCTGATCACACTTTTTATCCTTTCTCCTCGGGCACAGTTGCCTTTGCAGGTTTGGGTTTCACAGCGCTGTACCTTGCAGGAAAGCTGCGCTGCTTCAATGCAGTGGGCCAAGGCAGAGCGTGGCGGCTGTGTGCCTTCCTCACACCTTTACTCATCGCGACTGTGATCGCCCTCTCCAGAACCTGCGACTACAAACACCACTGGCAAGGTCAGAGGCACAGAAATGCTCAGAGTGGCACAATGCACTGTGTAAAAAAAACATTTGTATGACACTGGTGACCAGTACCAGAAGATGGGATGGATGGTTTAGAGGGACACAATGGGTCTCATTCATAAAACATGAGCAGAACAAAGTTGTGTGTAAACTGTTTGCAGATGGAAATTTACTTGTATTTCGGCATTTATCAATATGTTAGTAGCTCCAATCTTTTCGTAGATACAACAAAATCTACACCTGCTTCTGACTGCTCATAGTGCTTGTGTAAATATGATATTGCACATAAATGTTGTTTGTCATTATTAGAAATTACAGTTTTATTTCATATTGTGCTCTGTTGTGTTCACAATACACAGATGCCTTTAAAACATGTAAGTTTAACATGACAAGAGATTAGAAATGTAACACATTTAGTTAAATTAGATTTAAGCTTCAGATTATGATTCTTAAAAATGTGAATGAGTTATTTGAATCGACTTAATACAAAAGGTTAAAACGCTGTTCTCTGAATAAGTGAATTAACAAACCAGTGCACTCCTCCTCTGCCCTCTTCTCTTCGTCATTTTTGTTTAATTTAATGTCAGAGATGCGACGTGGGAGATGCTATAATTATTTCATATTGAGTTTTCATTTAATAAGACCTGTGGGTGTGGGAGAGCAATTCTGCGTCTGTCTCCGCTCGCACCAGACAGCTGGTGAACCCAATTTCGACCTACAGCGATGTGTACAGCAGCATTAATCTCATCCACAGTTTTTTTGTGGAGACTTTTCTGACACAGGAAAGTGACGTCAGTGTTCATAATTTTGCCTCAAAACTCGATTAACTTGGGGAAACCTCTTTCAGTGCAAATACAACACCTTTTTTTTTTTTTTTTTTTGGTTACAAACCTGATAATGTTACTTTTGTGGCACTGATTAGATTTAGGTGGAGGTATATTATTATATTGTTTGCTTCACTTTTATATCAGCAATCATTTTGTAACAAGACATATCCATCTAATAGAATGATGGATATTTCATGCAGTTACATATGATCATCACATTTGAGAAGTTTATGCTAGATGGAAAAAACTCTTGAAATTTGATAAATTCTTAAGTATTTCTGAGAAAAAAAAGGGATCTCTTTATGCAAATTTACCATTATACATGCAGCTCTGTCCATATTGTACGGACACGTCTCTTCCATTTGTAAAAGGAAAACAAAACGTTTTCCCTTTATCTGTACAACATTAACATTACCAGGAAGGAATAAAATTCAAATAACAGCTCATTTAATCAGGTGCTGGAGAGGATGTTAAGGTATTTTACACAAGGGACCTATAAACAAAGCATAAGAACTAAAGGGGTTTTCATGCTTTATGTTTCTGTATTGTACTGTCTTAATGTCCACATTGTTCCTAGATTTATGGAGCCTCGAATGAGACACAGACTTCCATCTGTGTCACCAATAATGAGGAAATACAGTGATTGCTAGATGGAGCAGTGAGTGACAACAACTCCGCCCACATAAAAGAGTACTGTGTGCAGTGAAATCGCTAGGGTCTAGGTACCATGTCTGAAGGGTCACTTTTGGTTCCAAAGGTAACATACTGAAAGAAATGGGCCATTGAACAAAAACATGAGAAAATTAGAGTCCAGGTTCAAGAATAACGAAGTTTCCCTTAAGTTAATTGAATCTCACAATCTAAAATCTCTCTTAGGTTGATATTCTCCCAGAGTATTAGATATAAATATGGAACATATTCATGTGAAATGGTGGGCTCAAACTCCTCATACATGTGTGTTCTCTCCTCCTGCAGATGTATTAGTGGGTTCTCTGCTGGGTCTCGTCTTCGCCTGGCTGTGTTATAGGCAGCACTACCCTCCTCTTCAGGACGCTGACTGCCACAGACCTCTCCGTCACAGAGAGACTGTCCCCGCGGCACAGGAGCGCAAGCTGGCCAACTCCACCTACATCCTGCCCCTGTAGAACAGCTGTAACTGTTACTGGTGTCAGTCATACTGGGTTACATGGTAATCCTCCTGGTTTTCACACCCTTAGGGCTGGGCAGTTTATCCGTATTTATTGTTTATCGTCAATCATTGTAACCGTAAAGTGACGTGGTTTATTTTCTGAACTAAAAAGACTAATGACACATCTCTTCTGAATAGATTCTTAAACACCTGAGAATTGCTGTAAAGAACAACTCCAGTTTAACAACGACAACTTGAATTGTTGAAACCCAAACAAACATCATTACATATAAAAGTTGTCAACGATGGAGGGCCTGGTGAATATCATGACAATGCCCAGCCCTGCACACCATGTGTACTGTGCCTCTAGATCACAAAACTTTAAACACTCACAACAGCTGAGCACGTTGACTACACAAGCACTGCACTAATAGTCCACTGCCCATCAACCGCAGGCTCAGCTGCTGCGAGGCAGCTTCTCATGTAGGGACACGAGTGGTGATTGTTTTGTAAACTTTTTCAACAAGCAGGGTTGATGGAAAAACATTCAGTATTGTTGTTTTTGATCATTTTCTGGCATTTATACGACTAAATACTTAATTAATAAGTGAATCTATAGCCGATTTAAGATAATAGATAATGAAAATAATCATAAGTTTCAGCCCAAGCTCAAGAAGATCCATTTATTAATGACTGAGCACTGTCAACTGCATCTCAAAGTCTTCTCAGGCAAATGGAGCCTGTTTAGGTGTGATCCTAAGATTTGAATGTGAAACAAGAACCCTGGACAACAGAATCAATGAGCACCATGTGACCAGAAGTCAGAGGTCAGACAATTAAAAGTTAGAGGTGAACATCCTTTGAACCAACAGAAAGCATACCTCACCCACAAAATTACCATTTTACATTAATTACTCACCATGTGTCACCTTGAAATCGTGAAGAAAACATCATTCCTCTTGCGTGCCTTCACAATGAATGAAGAATCCAAAACAGGCGAGCAGTCTTCGTGAATTGAAGAAATGGGGACCACATTTAAAAACTATATCAAAACATCCATTCACAAACTCTCACACAACTCGTGCAGTATAACTTAAGTCTCATCCAGTTTTATGCTCAGTACTTCCCAAACACACGCATTTTGTTAAAACGTTACGATTTAAAACACCTCTGCCTGCCAACAGCGCGCTCTGAGTGTACCTAAGCACACACATATGAGCTTAGCTTGGGCAGAATTCAAGGCCTTTGTACTGACGTGTTTTAAATCATAATGTTTTAGCGAAAATGCATGTAGGAAAAGTACTGAGCACGTGACTGAATAAATGAGATTTAGATTATCCTGCATGAGTTGTGTGAGAGTTTCCAAACAGATGTTTTGATATACTGTAGTTTTGCTGCAGTCCTCATTTACCTCAAGAATGTTCTCCTTTTTTTGGATTCTTCGTTCACTTCAGATATGGCATGCAAGAACAAATTTAACATAACATCATAGCAACGTCATTTTGTTGGTGAAGTATTTGTTTGATATGTGCCTGAATATATAAATTTGGGTCATGTGATGCTCTATATTCTGAAGAAGACTGAGATAAAGTTGACGAATAATAAGCAAGTAGGCCTTTGAGTTTAGATTATGTGCACCATGTAGTTTCTTTTTCTTTTGTTGACAGCGATGAACTGGTGGAGTAAAGGCCTTTGCGCATTGGGTCTGTTTTTCAGATGTGTTTTTTTAAATCTGTCATCTAAAAAAAATCTTCACGCACAGAAACCTTATACACTGATTCCGATGCGTTTTATTTTTCTATTTGTTGTGAAAATTCGCAAAATGAAATGACACATTTCTTCCTTTGCCTCTCTCCACTGGAGTTACCTATCTGGATGTCACCACTCCCTCCTTGTCTTTCATTTGGCACCGCGGCTACATGAAGGGGCGGAGCTGTCCTCCCTCTCTGTCTCCACATCCTCCTCCTCTTCATCATCATCCACCTGAATATTACTATCTGACCTGTTGAACGTAGCTATCTGAGTCATGAAATGATTCTGTGCGCCCAGTTTTTCTGTCTTGTCGCAGCTGTGCCCCACTGCCACATTTCCTTCAATAATTCTTGGTCAAACGTCTCTGAAGGCTCCAGCAGATGCGAGAAATGCAGAAAATTGAACCTGTTGCGAAAATTCTAACGAAAGTTTCAGACTCAGTGTGCAGGCTTACTCGGCTCCATTACAACTCACAAGGTTTACCAACAAAACAACTGTCATACCAAACACGTTTTCCAAACAAATACAACATGCTAACGTTATTAGCACAAGCCTGTGGCATTTTACATTGCAAAAATTAGCCTAGCAACGAGCAGAGATTTCCTCTGCTCACATGAAGCCAGGATAAATCACACACAATGTTGTTTTGTCAAGGCTTTATTGTTTTTACAATTTATTGTTTCTTAAAATAAAAGCTTCGTTTCCACTGAGGGAAATGGTTTCAGACAGGAGGTCTGCGTTGTCACGAGGCGTAGTTACATTTCTTGGAAGGTGTACATCAGGCTATGGCGTAGGGTACAGCGTCAATTCAATGCAGACATATAAATTCAGCCGTAGTGTACAAAGGCCTTAAGAGGTGTTTATGTGGGCTGTTTGTGTCGTAACAGTAGAGCTGTCACAGTATATGTCATTGATAAACATTGTACTTTAATATCTGAAAAAAGGCTCCTTTCCTAAACCAGCTGGGCACTGTAGTTTTTAGCAAATCAACAGGAGTGAATAGTGCATCGCTGGGGACTATTTTCAGCTGCGGATGAATACACATTTAGTGCCCAAGTTGCTTTCTGACTGTGGCACAGATAAATGAGGAATGTTAAGCTCTATCTACACAGATGACACTTGTTTGTAGTATCAGTTCATTATTGGTGTTTTTTGTTTGTTGACAACAAGAGAGAAAACAGTTGAAAAGAAAGAGACTGTGTCATAAAACCTCTGACATTTGACAACATTTATATCACATCAGCAGATCCCGCCCCTGACTGTCGGCACCTTTATGTTTAAAGCGGGTTAATCCACTTGGTTGGCTTCATGTCATCAATCTCCCCATGGCTCAGCTGTTTCTGTCATCAGTGCTTTAAATCTCTCCGTCTTCCTATATTATATTTTGATTGTTTCCATTCACAGATTGTTTGATTTATATCTGTAAAGGGTGTCATACGCCCTGTCCTCAGTACCGATGTAGCAGCTCCGCTCATCTCCTCTCACGGTCCTCGCAGTGCTCGCTGTACTTGATAATCACATCTTTGCTCCAACTGGACAGCACATGTGCTCATAAAGTTAATGTGACTGTAATACGAGTGGTCTCAGGCTTACTGTAGGTCTGGGTTTAGTGACTCTCCTGACTCCTCTGCCGACACGATGCAGGTGTGAATGAGACGCGGTGTGTGGGGAGTTTGGGGGACGGTAAAACCAGATCTTTCTGATGAACCTGAGTGAGGTCAGACTGTAACCTCTCCAGGTGATGGTGCTAGCCTCCCAGTGCTCCTGCTGGTCAGGTCTTCTATCCTGTTAATAGTTTTACTGGCACGTTAAGTTTTTCTCTCTGGTAGTTTTCATCCACTTTCATTTCAGACAGGGAATGCTAAAGCCTGTGATTCATCTATCATTTTATGTTTACTTTCTGTGGTCTATTTTTTCCCGTTTTATTTATTTGTTATGTTGTTTGAGGTTGGTTTTCAACTGGAAAAAAACATCAACTTGTTATGTCGATGGTTGAAACGTGAGAAACAACTAAACCTCTTCATGTTTCTGTTTCGAGTGTGAAACCGGCCAAAGTTTTGCAGGGTTAAAGCACTTTTGCTTGTTGCTGTGATTCAAGCTTAGAGCGGCTGGATCACTGCGGTTTAAGACCAAACATGGCAGAAAAAAACAGATGAATTTGTGCCTTTGTTTACTACATTACTTTATTACTCTTAGTTTCTGAATGAGGCATATAGTGCATGTAACGGAGTACGCTCTCTGTCACATTGTGGACACATCTTTGCTCTGAATCTTTGTGTTTTTTATTGTTTTACAGTGTACAGGAGTCATCTGGGAAGACAGGTTTAAATGTGGCATGCTGCTTTTGTTTACCTCAGAAAAAATCTTTAAGTACTTTCCATAAATTTTATCTTTGATGGAGTCAGATGTGAAGATTTCTGGGTGGGAGCATGTCAAAGTTACAACAGAGAGAGTCACTTTTCAGACAAATAATATCTTAATTTACTTGCTGGATCTTACAGGTATTTATGAGATGATGTACAGGTCTAAGTGTTTTTCATTTTGGGGCATGTAGGAGTTTACTTGAATTTTGAATATTTGTTTGTTTACCTTAAATGTGATGATGTTACATCATGAAAAAAGGAACCATGTTTGTGGGCACATGGTTTTCTGGGGAATCTCTCAAACAAAAATAATGTTCATTAGACTTTGCTGCATTTTGATAAAACCCTGCATGTTTCACAGCTAAATAACAACATACTTTCTTCATTACTTCCCTCCAAGTCAACACATCTCCATCTGTTTCTGTTAATTTATGTGACTTTCAGTACATGAATACTGTATCGGGTTGTTGATCATGTCTAGATTGAAGATCTTCTGGGATGATGCTGTTTATTTATGTCACACTCATGATAATTTGCCTTGGCTTGTAAGACCATATAGCAGCTGCTCATGCTGATACCGTACCCTGATTGTACATGTTGTGATGCTTTTAATGACTCTTTTGGTGACACTAAATGATGTTTATAAATAATCCTGCAATACACTCTGTCCTCTGCTTATTTTCAGACATTATTTAGAAATGTGTGCTGAATTCAGGAACCTGCCTTAGAGAGCCTTAGACACCATGAAATTTATAGTAAAGGATATGTTGAAAAGTAGCCAGGACAATTACAGATTTATTATGAAGCAGTTTGGGTTAAAGCAATAACAGTGTACAGAACAGCAGCATTTTTACATGTATTTTATTTTAAAGCTGCAAGTACCAGCTGCAACTGTTTTTCTAGTCTTGTCTATAAGTCATGAGAGAGGGTTACGGGCACGTCAAAGATAAAGAAAAAGATTTTTGGAAAAAAGTTGTAAATCTACGATAATAAAGTTGTAAATCTATGAGTATGAAATCGTAAATCTATGAGAATAAAGTCACAGATCTAAGAGAATAAAGATGTAAATCTAAGAGAATGAAGCCGTTGATTTAAGAGACTAAAGTCGTAAATCTATGAGACTAAAGTCGTTAATTTAAGAGAATAAAGTCGTTAATTTAAGAGAATAAAGTCGTAAATCTATGAGACTAAAGACGTTAATTTAAGAGAATAAAGTCATAATATTATGAGAATAAAGCCGTAAATTTATAAGAATAAAGTCTTAATATTAGAAGAATAAAGCAGTACCAAAGTAAAGTAATGTAATGCATTACCAACAAGATTTCAGTGATATCATTACACTTACAATGTCACATAACATGTTGCCACCTGAAAACTGTTTATTAATTTATTTTTTCATTCATCCACATTGCGCCATTTCCACCAGTAAATAAATACTGATAAATTGCTAACAATGGAAGAAAAGAAACACACAAGTTACTGGAAATTATACAATATCCTCTTAGGGGGCCAACAGTTTCTGGGTGCTGCTAAATTGATTATTAATGATAGCTGGAATAAGGCTAATGTATTAAAATCCTATGGTGAACACTGAGAGCTTATTATGACACACTTTACTTTGGCTGTTTTGTTCTTTATGGCATACTATACTATGACTTTTTTTACATTAATAATATGCTTTTGTACAGCATACTACACTATGACTTTTCATGATTTTTTAATTTTTATTTATTTATTTTTACATTTGTTATGACATGCTATACTAAAATATGTTAAAATTCATTTTTAGGCTTTTTTACGGTATACTACACTATGACTTCGTACTCGTACTCGTACTCGTCGTCCTCCGCTTATCCGGGTCCGGGTCGCGGGGGCAGCAGCCTCAGCAAAGAAGCCCAGACAGTCCTCTCCCCAGCCACTTCCGTCAGCTCTTCCACAGGAACCCCGAGGCGTTCCCAGGCCAGCCGGGTGATGTAGTCCCTCCAGCGTGTTCTGGGGCGGCCCCGAGGTCTCCTCCCGGTTGGACATGCCCGAAACACCTCCCAAGGGAGGCGTCCGGAAGGCATCCTTACCAGATGCCCAAACCACCTCAACTGGCTCCTTTCGATGTGGAGGAGCAGCGGCTCTACTCCGAGCCCCTCCCGGATGTCTGAGCTCCTCACCCTATCCCTAAGGCTGAGCCCAGCCACCCTGCGGAGGAAACTCATTTCGGCCGCTTGTACTCGCGATCTCATTCTTTCGGTCACTACCCAGAGCTCGTGACCATAGGTGAGGGTTGGAACGTAGATTGACCGGTAAATTGAGAGCTTCGCTTTCTGGCTAAGTTCCCTCTTCACCACAACGGACCGGTTAAGCGCCTGCATCACTGCTGACGCCGCCCCAATCCGCCTGTCAATCTCCCGCTCCATCCTACCCTCACTCGTGAACAAGATCCCGAGATACTTAAACTCCTCCACCTGAGGAAGGACCTCCCCCCTGACCTGGAGTGGGCAATCCACCCTTTTCCGGCTGAGGACCATGGCCTCAGACTTGGAGGTGCTGATTCTCATCCCAGCCGCTTCACACTCGGCTGCGAACCGCCCCAGCG